GTATTTAGAGCCCTTTGATTATCAACTTAAATTCCTCTTATAGTATTTAACTTATGTAATCGTCGCAAGAATAAGAAATTATTGCATCGCTGTCGGAAATGCTATCATCCATGTTTGCATAATTTTTTTTTATTTTCTTTTCTCACGTTGAGGAATTTGTATAATAAATTACTTCTCTCTCTTTTTTAATAGTCGAATTTAAATGCTGTCTGTGAAATTTACACAACAAAGCAGATTACTGAGCAGATAAAATGTGATAATTATCACAAAGAAAAAAAATTGCATTCTAAAAATTTCAAATTAACTCTAACCCATCAAAGATGAGTTTATAATAAATATTTAAAAATATATAAGAACTTGAACAAATATTTTTATTTCTTTCTGAAATAAAGAAATATCCATGACGATGGCAACTCATAAAACTAAATCGTTATTATTGAATAAAATCGAAGCTCAGATGAAAAAGAATTACAGCTTCTTAAAGTTCCCAGCATGCACTTCTGTGTTTCTTTTTTAAATGTTGGATTGTATAAACTACAAAATAACAAAGTACTAAAAATATATTTATTTTTTCAAGCTATGGGTCCGTGCCTGTCTCTTTAAATAATCACTGGGGATAAACAGAAAGAAATTAGCAGATTATTACAAATAATAATAACACTAAAAATAAATAAATAAAATAAATAGAGCTCAAGAAGAACGCAGATATCAAGCATATCGTTAATTCCCAAAATCCGTTTTTAGAGATATCGTTAATACCCCAAATCAGTGACAGAGTATCCTCCAATACGCAATTTACCTAATGCTTTAATGTGCAAACTTTCAGAGCTGATTAACAACTAGCTTGTCTTAGTTGTCGGAGCCGTATTTATATAGTGTCGCATTGGCTTCTAGAAGCTTCGGAAAAAATCGGTCATTAGCTTCAAAAATGTGGTTGTTGCTACCAGTCTCACTTGTCTGACAATGGTGAGCATAAGCCCACGACATTCATCGTGGGAAGTTGGGCGGCGTTTCAAAAATGTATTTTCGCGAAGCTGCTGAAACGGCACCAGACGAGTGAGAAGTCGCAAAATGTATCTATCTTCATATCGAGGAAATTGTTGTCAAAGCCTTTCAGGAGCATTCTTGTCCATATCTGGCGTTTTAGTTCAGCTATTTTAACAGTTTAAACGTTGAATTTTTCAAATTATTCAAAAAATATTTTCAGATTCAGATTTAAATTATTTTCAGATTTAATTATTTATAATTCTATACAGGAAATAAACGTATAAATATGGCCATAAATTCAATTGCAATTAAAATAAACCTTAAGATTATCACTCTGATAGCAAAAAAATAAGTAAATACAATACATAATATCGCAACGATATACAAAAACAACAATGCATTCAAAAGAATTTAAATATTTACAAAAATTTACATCATAATTTGAATAATCAAATCATTAAAAAATATTTGTAGAAAACTCCAGTCAATCAATTATTATCGCACAATTTCATTATCAACATTCGATTTTATTTTGGATACAGATAATAATGTATCGAAGAAATACAGTAAGGAATTTTGCAGTCGATGTATTGCAGAGGTTATTAAAACCATACGACAAAACCTCTCTACGATGACCACCCACTGTTCCAGATGATTTGATCTTCTACAGAGATAATTGTCTTAGAGAGATAATGTTCAGTACCGATGTTTATAACTTGTATGTTCTCAGAAATTGGTTGTCACTTTTAGAAGTGGTTGTCAGGGGAAGATGGTCATCAATACAATATTCACTATACATAACAAAATTCTGGTTCAAAACAATATTTGTTGCATGTCGTTAAACGTGCAGATAAAAGGGTTTTTTAAATCAATAAATTATGTTGTGTTCAATAAAGCACTTTTAGCACTTTTATAATATCCACGACCGGCTGAAGCGGGCTTGCAAGGCCTGCCCTGCTTATACAGGCGTAACAAGCACCATTGGAGAGAATAAAGCAAAGTCGAAAGCAAACTGCTATCGAAAAAATTAAACTACTAACGTGACTTTCAGCAGGCGAAACACTCTCTGATTAAACAATCTAAAACTTCTTTAAACTCTTTAAATATTATCTCTTTCTACTTCATTTTAATACGCGTGAACTAAAAATTAGCATTCTGGCAGGTAAACGGAAAGGGAGAATAACAGTAAAGCTACTTAACATAAAAAAACTGGTTAGGTAAAAATAAATAAATCGTTACAAACAGATGAATCAGTGAAATAAAACGTAAGTGTTAAATACGAATAAAATATATTCCAAATCAAGTTCCTACTACAGAGGACTCACTGTCCAATGATCCGCTAGCTAAAGATTTTAATATGATCAACAATTTGGATTTAAGAAATAATAATCATAATTATTTCTTAATACAACATCATGTGAAATGTCTAGAGCAGGGATTTCCAAACCTTTTTCTTGCAACTTTTAAAAGAAAGTTTTTTTTTTCATTTATCCTCTTACATTTTTCTCTATAATATGCAGTATACAGCATAATCATAATACAAATAATTACACATAAATAACCTGAAAGGAACAATTAAACTAAGAATATGAATAAAAGTTTTGACAAAATGGTTTCTTATATTTATGTTTTAAGTTTACAAATATAAACAAGTTTTCAGAAACAAAATCACAGATTCGAATTGTACTAATGTTTGATTTTAATGATGTGATGGCTGCGCTTGAAGTATTGGTGTAATTTTTTTAAATATTTGACATAAAATTGCTCAAGTTAATTTTTAAATCACCACATTCAGTTTTGTTTCTTGTTTTCCATAATAAATTATTGATTTGATTAAATCCTAATTAATTTTCTACAAGGTAAGATGTTAAAACTCAATAATGCTGTTCCGTAACGACTTTCATTTCATTAGATATCTCTCGGATGATTTTTGAATTGCAAAACTTAGCGTACATATGTGTTTTGAACAAGACTTGTGCTTGTTTAGTGTAATCAGCTCTTCTTGAAACGTAATATCAAGATCAAATATAGCGCTGTTTATCGGTTCTATGAACCATGCTAGCACATTCAAATTTTCAATGTTTTGGAAGCGAACATTAAAATCTTCCAAGCGGCTAATATATACCAATACATCTTCTGAGATGCTTTTGCATGCTTTGTAATTTTTTGGTTGCCTTTTTTTTTTGTGTTTCTGAGCTTCATTTTTACATACTGCACGTTTTGAATAAAGAACTTTTTTGATTAAAAATAATCAAGGTATCGACGTCAAATCTGGTCAATCCCTTGATCATCATTGAACCCTTTTAAAATTTCATCGACCCCCAGGAGTCAATACAGATCTATTGGAAACCACTGATATAGAGAGCTGGAAGATGATAAGAATGCACACTCACCATACTCTCATTTTTTACAAATCAGTGAGGTGCTGTCTATGCTTTTGAACCACACGCAAAACTTTATTTCGAACCCAAATTCTCTTAGTTTCAGTATACATGAAGAGATGGCAGCACCAGCGAATAAATGAAATGAATTCACACTCTGAATTTAGCTTTCGAAGACTTTTTTTACGCATAACTTTAACTTCTGGTATAACATGATTAGACTAATTTTAGAATATTGTCATATGAAATTCGGATTTTATTTAAAAGATGTTGACTTGCAATATGGAAATTTTATATTAGAAACTAACGCCTAAAAATACGGAAACCATCAATACAAGGTATTAAAAATTTGAAAATATGTATGGTAAAATAATAATAGTAAATATATAAAAATTAAAAAAAAAATTCTCTTGTTAGAGAAAAACAATTGTTATTGATGTTCTTGCTTCGGCAGTACTTGATTGCAAAAAATAAAATTAAATCTTTACTTTTGAAACTCAAAAGGTAATTTCTATTTTGGAAAATTTGTTGAATTTTTTTTCCCTTAATGCGAAATGATACAAACCAAAAAATATCAGAGAAAAAAGTACATAACCATTCGAATAAAACTGAACAGAGAAATATGATTGCCATCTGCATATTACTTTCTCTGTTTGATTTTAATTTCGATGCAGACATTATCTTTCACTGGTGTTTTCTCGCTATATACGTGCACTAGCAACAAAAATGGCTTCTTTTTTTTTTTTTTTTTTTTTTTTTTTTTTTGATACTCTTATGCCGGGCTGTCGCTGTAAAGCACGCGACGTTGCCGGCTCTATGACTAAGTATCCCAATAGGGCACAAGACGTTGAACAGTCTGGACGGGCTGTGAGAAAGCGTCGGAAATGGGAAAAAGGGAGTGACCAGAGTCACAAGAAGAAAGAAAACCAAGAAAGCCGCGCGCATGGAGAGGCTAAAGACGAGTGGGTGTCTGGTAGTGTTGTATCATGATATGTGGGTGGTTAAGACATGAGAATAAGTCTGAGAAAAGTTTTATTATCTAAATCAGATGTCATAAGATATAACATATAATACATATACAAAACACATAAGCAAAAGATACAAATGATAGAATAAACATATAACATATCTACAAATTTTACACTATTTACAGAAAATCCGTGAAAGCGAACTAAGTAGTGAAATTATCATCACGGTGAGGTGCGCCGCGTAAGTCTGATGCCAACTGTCTTCCTCAAAGTAGATTCAAAAACTGTAAATTGACTGCCTTTTCTATCCCCTTTTATAGAGGGAAATAACTAGCAAACCTCTGGCGTCATTTTTTACACACACTGGTCTCGTATTTGTATGCATAAAAAATAATTTTGACATCAGACTCAGCGTATAAGATAAACTATGTTATAAATATTATTAAAAGCATATATAAAGTTTATAATAATTATTTATCATACATATTTTACAAATTAGAAAATTATTTGAACGTAATTTGTGACGTTTTCCCTCAGAACATAGTTATATTTATAGGTAATAGATGGCAGCACTAAAAGGAGCCCCAAATACTCTAAGCTAATTATATATTATTCTATGCACGAAACATTCCTGTACAAAAATAAAATGTTTAGTTTGTTATCAAATTAAATGTACATCTGCAGAAATATAAAATTCAATGCTGAAATCACGTGTTAGAAAGCTTCATTTCAGGATAAATCTTAGAAAATTATGTGGCAACAATTGTGTTGTTGTTGTCATTGTCATGGTTACCGTGTGCGGCAAAATTTCTTTTGTATATTGAACAAAAATTAAATAGAGAGAAGAGAATGTTCGCTTTCGTCTAATGTTAAATACCTTCTCTAAATAACAAAAATGCATTAAAAGTATAAATTTTTTTCATGTGCATTATTTGTCGGGAATATATTTTGTTTTGATGATGGAGTATCGTTGAAAAAACGAACTGCATTTGTAGTGCATTATAATTTAGTGAAAAAATTTCAAGATGGAAATTAGCTATACTTACATACAAAAGAGGAGAATGTTCGGCCAAAAATGCCATTTTAGTAATGTTGGTCCTCATTTAATTGTTGACATTGATCCAAATCCGAAACTTAAGAATGAGTATGTTCATATTTCAAATATTGAAAAGGAAACTCAATGTTCTAGTGCCATGTCACTACATGAGGTAGAGTATATTTGATGCATTATTCATTAATTTCGATGGAATAAATTAAGGCGTATTTTTTCAATTGAAATTATTTTTGTTTCATTTCATTTTTAATTTCAAAATGTGGATCGAGTGACTGTTTTACTTTTGTTATTTTTCGTTTGGTTGGCTCTTATTTTGGAGCATCGAATTTGATATTTTTTATAGGTCATGGAAATTTTCTGTTAGTATTAATATTTACTTTTCTTTGAGTTTTCAGTTTGTGTACTTTTCTAATAGACCGCTGTACTTTCTAATAGACTGACATTTTAATAGTCAAATGCAACTGACACTGTTGAACTAAAATGCATACCCTTTTTCAAATGTATTTTTAAGTGTCCTCTTTAACCTAATATATATTCACACGATGTTTCGTCGTTCCAAAAATTTAATAATTTTTTAATCAAGCTCTATTCAAAACTTTGTGTATAACATTCTTATGGAATATTTCCGCCATATGTTAATAAATAATGCATTCTTCATATTATATTTAGAATTATTATCTATTTTTTAATAACAATCTCGTGTAAACAACCATGACTGTATCACTTCTTTCATTTTTTTAAGCATGATCAAAAGGATGTGCATTAATCATTTATGGAATATATCCTATATGTTTTGTGAAAAAATGTGTTCCTCATATTACATTAAGATTATTATCTATTTCTGAATATCAATCAAATATATCATCCTTTTATTTTTTAAATGGATCATGATTAAAAGGATGTCCATCACATTTTATGGAATATTTCTAGCATATGCTAAAAAGGAATAAATTCCTCGTTTTATATTTAGAATTATTTTCTATTTTTTGAGTAATGATAAAATGTAAATAACCATCGCTATTTTGCTCCTTTGATTGTTTTAATTGGATCAACTTGAAAGGATGCTCATCACTTTCTGTAGATTATTTCCGGTATTTCTAACAAAACAATTTATTTCTCATATTACGTTTAGAATTATTATATTTTTTTGAAAAACTGTCAAATGCAATCAGTCACCACTATGTCACTCTTTTGATTTCACAATCAATTATATTTGTAGAATTAAGAGGATTTTTTGCAGTTTGCCATGCCATTTTTTAAAAAAAGTGCAGAAATGGAAAACTGAAATCTCTTGTTTTGATAAGTATTTTTTTAACCCCTTCAGCCATGTGCTTGAATAAATTTTCACTAAGTATAAGTAAAAGCATTTCAATTCGCAAAAGGTTTGTGCACCATTTTTTTTATATATAGATCTTTCATCTTTTGTAATGAAGGTTTATTTAAAAAATATTCAAAGAGGGAAAATTAAGTTGGCATATAGATTTTTAATCAAATTTCACTGATTTTCAAGGCAATCAGTTTAACCTCTTCCTTAGGAGCAGAAAAAAATCTTTTCATAAATAGATGATATTTTAATGGAAACAAGGTGAGAGGTAATAGTAATCAATATCACAAATTATTATTTGAAACTTTATTGAGATTAGTAATGCATTCAATGATTAAAAAAAAGCATGGGTACTTACGTATTAACGCAACCAGGCCAAAATTTGCATAAATCGCCAAATTTGGCGACCCTACTTACGGCAACCCTATGTGTTTAGACGAAAGTTTATTTGTAAAAAGTAAAAATAACACTGGGCGTGTACTACCACAGCAATGGGTTTTCAGCGGAATTTGCCGAGAAAAGAAAGAGACGTTTTTTTACTGTACCTAACAGAAGCGCCATTACCCTCAGGAAAAAATTTGCGAAAATATCAAGGAAGGGAAGCATCATTATTCGGATTGCTGAAGGATCAATACAAGTGAGTTCGAAAATGCTGGATTTCTGCATGGACGTTAATCACAAATATAACTTTGTGGATCCCAACACGGTGTTCACACACAGCATGTAGAGCGCATGTGGGGCTCAGCCAAATGGCGCACAAAAAACGAGAGGAACACCCGTCATCATCTCTCATACCTTATCGAATTTATATGGCGCCAAGCCAAGCGGTTAATGGTGAAGACGGTTTTTCAATCAGTGCTAAAAGCAATAGCCAAAGATTTCTGCCCGAAAAATAATTCTCACGTATTCAATTCGAAACCGGAAGGTTTTATTGCTATTTTAGATTTTAAAAACAAAATAATATAAAAAACTGTATTAAAATTATCTGTAATTAATAAATGTACATTTTCTTTCTATTCATACTTTTTTACTCAAACTTACAAATCGTGCCAACCTGGTTGCGATAATACGTAAGTACCAAAGCATGTATGTTGATTTGTCACATTTCATTTTTCCAAGTGTCGTGAAATGCTTTTGTACTCAGCTAATACACAAATATCTTTGTCTCTGCTTTTATTACTATATAGGTCTTTTTTTAAATCATATTTCTGTTTATCTTGTGCTAGTATTATTGTAAATTTAATTATAATTTCTCATAGTAATTTTGTTCTGTTTTTTAATCCAGGCACAAACAGTTTTACATTCAACAAGAAGCAGTGGCATGAATCATGTGGTTGGAGGATGGCCAGCTGATGTTGATCCTCGAGATGATGACCAAGTAGCACGCTTCAAGAAAAAGATTCAGAAAGATGAGAATTTTATTAACACCATAAAGAAGCTCAGTGATGCAAGTTTAGTAGACTATTTTCTGCACCATAGTATAAATTAAAATAACAGACACCTGCACCTTTAGTAAACATATTATAAATATAACAGAAGTACTGATTTGCACTGTGTTCTACATGAAAAGCTACATAATCTTTCTTTTCTTTGAGAAGGTGATATGCAGAGGTGTGTAATATTTTAAGCATTTTTGGGTATTTGGGTATTATCCAGTACTCATTGATACAGCACAAAAAGTACCCCATAGTTCTGCTTTCTTGCGAGTATTTCGGCAGCTGTAGAAGTTATTCTGGATTCTTTTGAAAAGATGCATTTTTCTTTAGTCCAAAGTGGCAATTTGCCCTGAAGGACTATTAATTTCATTTTGGCATTTTGTGTTGAAAACTTTAAAAGGCTGTATCACTTTTCAAATCATTGCCACTAAATGTTATCGCCCTGTATTATATTTGAAGAAAGTAAATAATGAAGAATTTTCATAAATATATGCATGTGTCTCACATTGCTATAAAACAACAGTACCTAGAGTCATCCAATTTTGAATGACATAATCCTACTGCAAATATGGGCATCTGGAAGCCCAAATTTGGAATTTGTTTTATTATCGATTTCATATTTTGCAAAACTTTAACGAATTTTTATTAACAAACTCTAGGATTTTAAAGCGAGCGATGGCAACGTTGTACAGAAAAAACATTTTTATCTCCAGCTTGTGAGACTGTGTATTGAAAATTGCAAAGTATGCTCAATTTAAAATTATTTTGCGATATTGCTCTTGAAATGAATTTTATGGTTTAAGTGTGAAGAACATGATATTTAATAAATAAAGATAACACATAAAATGTTTAAAAAAATGCCCCTTTGGACGTAGCTTAAAATCTGAAAACCTTTCTGTTTTTTTTTTTTTTTTTTTTTTTCATTCTTTTCTTTTCTTATTTTTCTGTTTTGTGTTTTTTTCATCATTTTGGTAACCTTTTTTCCCATGAAAAGTTCTTAGGATATCATTTGTTTATTTCATGTTAATTTTTATTGCATTTCTGCATCATTTATTTGCTATTAATTTTCTGAGAAAAGAAATAAAAAAAATCAGTTTTTTAAGTGTGCAATATTTTGCCTCAAAACTTCAAATATCCTAATTTTTAAACAATGATATAGTATAGGAAGGAAGATGAGGGCACTCTTCTGTTATCGTAACCAGATTCAGAAATGTTTGTATGCATGTAGATATGGATGTATGTGTTCATGTACATATGTGCATGCTATATATGTGCTTGTATGCACATACACATATACATACATATATACACATGTGCATCCTTTTTTGATTCTGGTACTGATAACAGAAGAGTACCAAGATGAGTAATGAAAATGTTGTGTCAATAATTACGAACAAAAGTTCTAAAGAGAAATTGGTTCAAAGAAAATCACTAGAGATTTTATTTATCAGAGTTCTTATAGATGTAGAGAAAATAACAAACTGTTTGATGTGATTTCCAATGTAATTACCAAAAAATACTGTGTTGAAAATCACAAAACCTTTTGTACACTGTTATTTTTAAATAGATGCTTAAAGGTCGGATCAACCCTTCCCTCATTTGCGATCGTAATCTGTGTCATCATCGCCCACAGAGAGAATTCTTCTCTTTTTCCATGGCAGTCATTTCCACAGTTATGAGGCAACATTTTTGGGGAAAATGGCCTTGAAAGGCCTATTTTAAAGTAATAGGCTATAAATTGATCTATTGCCATCAAAAATGCATTTTTACCAAAGGGCAGCAATTGGTTGTTGACGGTGCATTATTGGGTGCCAATTAATTCTCAAATACCCATTTTTGAAAGGAAATGCATTTTTTAATATTTTTGAAGGACGTAATAATTTTAAGGTTTTGGTTTTTAATTTAGCTTCATTTTGTAATCATTAAATGAATTCCAGGTGTATATTTTTAGCTTGTTGAAACCTATGTGATGGAAAACAATTCCATTGATATATATGAAGAGTATTTTGCTGATAATAATTTAAATAATGAAGATGATGCTCAATTCAAGACAGTAAGTGTGTTCAGGTGAGAAAAGTTGTATATTCAAAAATGTATGAATAGTTTTAGCGAATTTGGGGGGGGGGTGCATTTCACTTGAAAGACCTTCTTGGCTTAGACCTTTAAACTGTAGATTGCATTTCTCAGTGGAAAGAGTAGCTATATATTTTATGTGTTTTCATATCTAATAAATAAATATAATCAACCTGCATACTTGACTGTCAGGTAAGAGAGCTATATAATAATTTATTCTTAACCAATTGATAATTATAGAATAATTGTACTATTATTAGGATTAAAAATGCAGTGTTAATGAGTATTTTAATAAACAATATGCATAGTAATATGTCATTTTTGGGGAGCAGGGAGTGGTTAATTCTTTTATCAGATTTTACTGATGTCAGTTTTCAGCTGTCTGACACTGCACTTCTGTATTACATTTTGGTTTAGGTTAATTAACACAAGAATGAATGAACAGGCAAAATAGCAAATGCAGTTTAACTGCCTGCCATGACTTTCATGCTGGACTTTGCGTAAATTGCTTCCAATTAGAGGATCTTTATTACATTTTTGTGAAGCAGTAATTGACTTTTTTATTATTAATGCATAAAAATTAAAATATATATAGTTTTTGATGTACAGTGTAACCTTGAGATATGAGCACCTCTATATATGAGAAATTTGAGATACAAGGAAAGTATGAGCGAAATATTTGTCTCTAAATACAAGCATTGCCTCAAGTAATCAGCAGTGAGCCAGGTTGTTGGTAGGCATGGTGCCATTTCCCGATCCGGCTCGACTCGTGGAATCTCCTTATCAGATCACTCTGTGTTTTTTGATCTACGTGTTTGTGAACTTGTGAGTTAATTGTTTATTGCATTTAACATGAAAATAATTATTTCACGATTTACCAAGAGGCTTATTGCCTCATATAGTGCTGCAAAGAAAAATAAGGAAGCCATGGCCATTGAAATTAAGAAAGAAGTTATAGATAAGCATAAGCACGGTGTAAGAGTGACAGAATTGGCGAAGACTTACGGCCTTTTGATATTGACGATCTGCACTATTCTGAAGAAGAAGAAGGAAGAAATTAAGAAACTTGATGTAGGCAAAGGAGTTACCTTTACTTAAAAGCACCGACCAAAACTCCTAGAAGATGTTGAGAAGCTGTTGTTGGTATGGATTAACAAAGAAGATATTAAAAGGTTGGTGTCGGAAGCTATCATAAAGATAAACTATGGGTATATTATTTACCAGTGTTATTTATTAGAAAAATTGATTTGTTGATATTTTTGGGAGTGCAGAACAGATTAACTGGATTTCCATTATTTTCAATGGGGAAGTTTGTTTCTAGGTACGAGAAATTTGCTATAAAGCTCAATGCTGGAATGGATTAAACTCGTATCTCGAGGTTCCACTGTATCAAATTATTTCACAGAATTGAAATGTATTATTGATTAATATATCTTAAATACTTTTATTAATTGTAGCCATTTTCTGTCCTAACTCTGACCATACTAAAAAAGTTTAAATGAATTTCCGATACCTCAAGCTTCAATGATATTTCTGACTTATAAAAAACTAAATTATTGTATCAAAATTTAGATAAAACAGCTATGAATTTTTGAGTTTCTGAGTAGAATAATTGCTGATGAAAAAGTATTAAGAAGAGGTATGACTTCCATTTTAAATTAAGTGAAATTTTTTTTATGAAGCAAAAGTCCTATGTTTTTGAGAGCAGTATTAAAACAGTGATTACCTTTCTTATTAGATATGAAGAGACACTCACAATGAATATCTAATATATTCTGCTGTTCTAATTAAATTTCTAATTTCAGCATTTCCTCAATTTTGAAGTCTGATGCTCATTTTAGCTGAAACACCATCATTAATGTTATCAGTATTGACAAAGAAAGGATTATACCAAATTGTAAGAGAAAAATATTAATGTAAAATTTAAAATTAGGCAAAACTGCAATCTTATTTTGTACAGATTTTGAATAAACATGATTTCGAAGGCCATCAGACACAAGTTCCTTTTCTTCAGGAGGGAAAAACAAATTCTGCAGAATGGGAGGAGCAATGATTGTATTTATATGGAAAGCAATTGGCAGAATAAATTGAACATGAGCACAGTGCCATCTTTTGAGGAAAATAGCAATGAAACATGAAAAATTAAGGTATTAGAATTCTAAAAATATTAGGCATAACTGGACTGGAATTAATAGTATTAACTAAAGAAGATAAATTTTTGTGTATGAGAAAAGCTTCAAAGAAATCAAGCTCACCAATTGAAGAAGTTTTATGGATAATTTTTCTAGAACCAAAGTCAAAATTGAGATTAAATTTCCAACTATTATCTATCAAAATTGATTTATTTCTCCTCTTTTGGACTTGATATTTATGTTCTTTGTTGCAAAACTTTTTAATTCTGTTTTAGTTTGGCCTCATTGTCAAGATATGCTATAAACCTTCCAAGAATTAAAGCAAAATCCTTAAAAATCAAACAACAAATTTTATTGATATGTAAGAAAATGACCAGAAAGTTGAGCTTCTGTAGACTATGTTCAATTTTGTAACTGATAAAAAGAGAAAATAAAATGATGATTAGGCTATGAATGTTATTTCTAATAGCAGAGTGTTTTCTTTGATGGCAAGAGATGAAAATACTTTAAAAGCTTTCGACTGTAGGAGAAAATCTGGTACTGTTTTATTATCAGGACCAGGCTCAAAAATGTATGTATGTATGTATGCATGCATATATATATGTAAATATGAATGTATGTGTATATACATATACGTGTATATGCACATATATACAAACACACATTCTATATATACAGACACACGTTCATACATTTCTCAATGTAGTCCCAGCAACAGTATAGTACCTTAATTCTGTTAAATGAAAACCATTTAAAAGAAAAACTGAATTCATTAGTTTGTTCTAAAGAATAAATATTGAAAGCATGAAATACATGACAGTTAAAAAATTGGGTATTTCCTTATTTAAGCAGCCCCCAAAATTTAATCACTAATCAACCAAGATGTATCATGTAATTAAGTATAAGAACATTTGATGAAATTTTGGTAAAATATCTCAATTGATTAGAGATTCAGTCTTGAAGGCCACTGTAATAAGGAAGTACCAAAAATTACTTTTGATATAAATATGGTCACCTCTTAGAATATTTTTGTTCCTGAAGAAGAGGTATCTGTGATTGGTTACTCTTGAAATCAATAGGGTTTTAGCCAGAACTTATGTGTAAATAAGGCTGCTGTTTTGCCTTATTTTAAATGGATTATATATCTTTGTATTGCAGACATATTTACAAAAAGGATGATATTTTCGCAAATATTGACTCATTTTTATGTTCAGAAATCATTAGGGAATTTGGACAGCTCTGGAAAAATGGTTAAGTTGATATATTCTGGTCAATAAATTGTCATGTGTCCATACAGAATGAGAAGAAATTTTGCAATTGATTTTTTGTTTTTGTTTTTTTGAGAGGGGCTGAAATAAAAGCCAAGACAATAATAACTTAAGCCAGTTCTTTTCATGTTTGATGTTTGTTTTTAAGCCGTAAGTCTTTAGACTTAAACAAAAGTACTTTATATTCAATGAAAACTTTTATTTATTGCTTAAAATTAAGCAAATTGTGTTTGCTGCATTTTCCTCCCCTATCTTTGTAGAGACTACTCTGAGTTAAAAAGGAAGATTCTTGATCTCACTTGGTGTTTAGATGGATGTAAAATTGCTGCAGCTCATACATACAGTGAAGTTGCCAACTCGCCTCTGAATCCATGTTTTGATTCATATGTGTGGGATATTGGTAAGATTTATACATTGTTGGTTTCTTATGAAATAGTAACAGCACAAGTAACTTGAAAAATTATTATTTAATAGCAATTTACTTAGAGAAACTTCTAGATAGCTTAATGACGATAAATGAATTATTATATGTAGGATTTTATAAGAATTGGTTAGACTGCCTAAAATTGAGACAAATATTCTACCAAAAATAGGATACCATTTAAAAATTAGGTTAAAAAAGAAAACTAAAGCATATTTCAGAATAAATCTTAATTCCTTTCATAATTAATAATTGGATTAATTCTTTTATATATGGAAAACATGGAATGACTTCTGATCAAGATCAGTCAAGAGAAACTTTTTAGTTTAACCACTAGAGGAATAAAGAAATTTTCTTATGTAATTCTTTAAAAGAACATATTTCTTTATTCCTAGTCTGAAAATGTTTTTTAAATATTCATTTATGTCTTGTCTAGTAATTAAATTTAGGAGTTTTGATTCAATAAATCCAGAAGAGTAATATTTGAACAGGAAATTGGTCCACTGGAGCCATTCCATCATTCAGAAACTTTTCAATCAAGATAATTCCTTTACTATGGCAGAGTATCATTCAGTTATAAAATCACTGTTGGTTGTAAATGATGTTATTGAAGAATTGCAAAGTTTTGTGAACACATTTTAATAACATCTTTCCCTGTACATTTTGCTCCTAAAAAAAAGACTGAATCTATGACTTCATAATGAGATAAGCACACCAAACATTCAATTTTGAGTTCTCTTTTTAATATATTCAACATGTTTTTTCAGTGACACTAATGCAGAAACTGCTAGATATATATACAGGAAATTTTGCTGAAGCAACTTCATAAATGTACTTTGGTTTTGCAATGCTTTGTTAAAATAAACTAATATTTTTTTTTTCAAGTATAATAATTACTTTAAAATGTCAGGACATGGAAATTCTATTTATTACAAACTTTAATTTGTAATAGTTCCTTGGATGTTACTTTTTAATTTGGTTCTTTCTTTCTTTCTTTTTTTGGTCCTAAAAATAATAGCTACTCATAATAAATTGCTTTCACTGCATCATTTCAAATTACACATGATTCTTACATAACATTAATCATGCAAACACTTATGTAAGGCTCCAGCTAAGAATGATTTCTAATTTGGGAACTACATATTAACAAATCATGTTAAAGCTGAACTGAAACTAACTCATTCTGAGTCTTCATCTTGGGCACATCGTATTCCTCTCTGATTTTCCTGGGTAGGTTGCTATCACTGCTTTTCTTACCACAACATCTTAAAAATGTGCAAGGTCTTGAAGAATAGGCATGCTTACTGCACCGGTTTATCAGTGATGCATTATGAATGTTTATGTACAGTAAAATTTATTTTTGTTAAGAAATGAAACATATATATGTCTGTGCATGGTTTCTTTACAGAAAATGCTAATTTCCCTTATTGTGTTCTGACACCAACTACTCAACTATCTTGTGTGGAGTATTCTCCCAGGGACCTGGAACTTTTAATTGGTGGACATGATAATGGACAAATAGGTAAATTTTTATTTATAACCTTAATTTTCACTTTGAATAGACTCTATGTTTCTATTCTTTCCTGATAAGGATGGTAAGAGAAATTATTTAAAAATTAAATGTTTGTCTTTTAGCAGCTCTCTCTATGTGTAATATTACCTTTTTTGTTGCAAAGTTTAGTTTCTCTAGATTGGCAATAAAAAAACATAAATAAAAAATTAGTCCACTTTGATCTTGTACCCTAATGTTTTCTTTTATTGTTGTGAATTAAAATATGCTTAATCTATTGTGGAATTATCATTTAAGATATTAAATTATTCCATGTACTGACTTAGCATAGCATCCACCACAATCTATTAGACAGACCTAAGAGATTTACGACTTGTCTCTAATATTATCAGATCAAAAGGGATAAATTTAATAAATTGATTGGAAAAAGCAATGTGAGAAACTGCTTAATATATTAAATAGTATTTTAACAGACATATCCCAATTGAAATAAAAGGTGGTCTGAATTTGATACCTAATAAGGAAGAAATCTCTGTTCTTTTGCAGCACTTGATATGCTGTATCTTATGATATATGAAGATTATGATTTATGAAGTACCTAATGAATCAAATGAAGGTTCTGTAATACAGTGTGGCCATAAAAAAATGGTCCGTTTTGCCGAGCCTCCAGTATTGCGATTCTTAGTTGAAGAGAATATATCTCAATAAAACAGGCAAAATCGGCAGCCTTGTATTCGGCATAAATTTTGTAAAATCTCGATCAGTTTCGAGGGCAAAACGAGTCCCCTTTCATCAGAATAAAAAAATTTTACCTTTGGTAGCAAAAATCAAGACGCAAGGGAAACATGCCGAAGTGGAAAATAAAACAGGCAAATCGACAACCTTGGTCGATTTATCTGTTTTAATTTCCACTTTGGCATGTTTCTCTTGCGTCTTGAGAATATACTCACCCAGAAATCAAGCGTTGACCAAATATGGTGGAATATTTGGGGATTTATCTCCTTCGTTGCTTCTGGGCATAATGTCATTTGTGCCTATTTAACTAACAGACAAGTCATGAAATCTATAATGTTCTGCTGCAACTACTTGTTTGATAAATCCATATTTACTCTGTATATTCTCTTGTGTATACCTTTTCAGCATATTTCCATATTCCTCCTCTTTTTTGAACTAATTTGATCAATCAAAACCGAGAGAGGAAAATTATGCAAGTCATTGAATTTCTGAAGAACATGGTTATAATTAAAACATAAAGTTCCTACAAAAAGGAAAGTAGTGATGGATAAGCTATTGATAATTATCATAATATTATTTATTTAAAAGAAACCTATATTCCACTAAGAATACTATATAGCAATATTAAAGTTGCAGTATCTGATGGGTTAGGTTTAATTACCTTATAAAGCGTCAGACTCACATGAATGAGTCTTGCTTGCAGTTCCTAAGAGGCACATCAGAGAAACAATGGAGAGGATGGGCAAACAAAAGACCTGTATTTTGAAAGACCAAACACATCAGCAGCAGATTAGGTTCCACTGAGCTGGAATGTTAATAATAAAAGTAAGGTGAAATCACATGTTTGGAAAATTTCTTAAGTGTAAGAACACCTGCCACGTCAGGGTAGCTGAATGAAAAATCTGCACAAAATCATTTTGAATAATAAATGGAAGGGAAAATAAAGGGAATCAAATGCTAACACAAAATTGCAAATACAAATTGAATACACTGAATAAAAATAAAAATAATCAGAGGAGTACAGTTTACCAATACACTAGCCCTCTAATGAAAAACTATATATACAACAGAGGTAGGGAAAAATCATGCAAACATTTTTAAAATTTTTAGACCAAAAAGCTAAAGGAAAAGCACTAAAATGCTAGGATTAAAAATATATGTGAGGAAATAAGGTATTTACAAACATTTGATGCATGGTGCTAATGTACAGTTAACACATAGTAAATTTACATTAAGTAAAAAATAACGCTGATGAGATTAATAACTTTAATTAACTTCTTTGGAGTGCAATAAACAGTAGTATAAATAAGTCTGTCTTTTCTATGCCTTTCAATGTGCTATATTTTTCAAAGAAGCCTTTTCTTCTGAAACACAGTACAATGTTCCACTCTTGATTTTGAAGAAATAAGATTAGTTAGAAAAGGGAGAAGGATATGTGGGTGAATATGGTATTTTAATAAAATAGATTTTATTTGTTTGTTTTGAGAAACACTTATCAAAATCTAGCTTATTAACTGTATGTACATCACTCTAAAAATTTGGGTACTTTATTAAAATTTGGGTAATGTTATTATATTCAGAAATGTATATATGCATGTGTATATGTGTGCATGTATTGCACACATACATGCATGTATGCTTCTCTGAATCCAGTTCCAATAAAAGAAAAGTACCAAAATTTCTTCACTGAACAAACAGAAATTGGAAACTGAATTCACGTAATATTTTGCATTTCATAACTGATATCAGAAGTGTTATATTTATAAGGTATAATTTTTATATATTTCTTATGTGACATATTTTATGTTGTAAGTTTAAAGAAAGAAACTAAATTAGAAATTTAGTGAAGCTTAAGCAATAACAATTTAAAAACAAGTTATTTTTATTAGGTGTCTGGGATGTTAGAGCTGGTGGGCATCCACAACAATTATCACCTTTACAAAAAAGTCATAAAGAAAGTATATCAGATATCAAATGGATCAGTTCAAAAACAGGACTGGAATTTTTTAGTGGATCGACGGATGGAAAAGTAATCATTGTTTTTTTTCTTCTTATTTGTATCCTAAAATGAGTATGATTAAAAGTCTGGATTTAAATTTGTAACTTTCAATACACTACCTGACAGTGAAAATGCACATTAAGACTTTATGGTATAACTATGCAAATTGCAATAAATATGCAACTGAGTAATTTTCGAAAATGATATGGATAGCAAACTTGTCACATGATAAGCTGTTGAGATAAAAGGGAAGGAAATGCCCAGTCAGTTAATAGTTGGTACTCTCTATCACTTGGAAAACCTGTTTTTGAACTGTTTTTCATCTCAGTTGAAGACATATCTGGCAAACGTGATCAATCTGATGTCAATTTTAGCAATCAAGCATTTACCCAAGAGGTTTTGCTTTAAGCCTTTGAACAGCTGGTTTGCCCATCTGTCATATCACAGCTATACCTGCATGTATCTACTATGCAAAAGATTTGGAGAAGATGGACTGTAGAAGAGGGCGTAAATCTTCTTTGGGTTACTGGTACCTCTAGATGGACATCAGCATACTGAACAAACAGAAATTTGTAAGATCAACACTTACAAAGGCATGGAGTTGGCCCAAATGAGAATGACTGTCAATATTATGCAAAATGTGCTTTGGATGCTCCAGTATCAGCATGAACAATTTCTGGACGATTGTTTGAAAGTGGCTGTGCAGTTATGCTGCTCTGTAGAAAGACTGCTATTGACGCAAAACCACTGACGTCAAGAACTGCAGTGGTGTTGGAGCACATCCTCTTGGACAAATAAACACTGCAGAATAATGTACAGCAACATGTCTTGCTTTTGTTTCAAATGGTCGGTCACATTTGCCAAGTAAAAGTCTGGAGGTGACATAGAGATGTAGGTCCAATTGTGATTGTTGAATAACATATTGCTCAATGACACAGCATCATGATTTTGGGCCATGGAAAGCTGATAATTTAGCATTCATATGAAAGGCATTAAGCACTACTGTACTTTCAAATAGTTATAAAATACTGTTTTCCAGGAAGGAAATGTCCCATGACATATACAAACATCAGCAGACAAATTCTTTAGGTTGCACAAATACTTCATATCCTAAAATCTTTTCCAGGTCTCACACCACTCAAGCATTTGTGTAGCATTATTGGTCATCACTGGCCATCATTGGCTCTATCTAGCCCCAGCTAGAGTTGAAGAATGGTTGAAAGCATATGATCATCCATCTCTTTAAGACACTCTTCCCTTACTGATTTGGGTTGCTTTTTGCATTGCTGCAAGAGATGGTTGTACCAAAGAATATGTATTGTTATTAAGAAGGAAAACTTCTCCGCAACAGGAGTGGCTCCGTCCCAACGTAGAAGGAAACAACTGCGCATGCACGAAATATGTGTCGCTATAGCTCGAAGCCGGCGTCAAAGTTCGAAGGTTACGTTTATCAAGAATTCATAAAATGAATAGAGTTTTAAATTTCTTTGAACTTTAAAGGAAAAGAAAACATTTTTTCGCACAAGTAAATTAATTAATGGATTAGTTATTTTAAGCCAAAAAAAAAAAAAAAAAAAAAGTGCGAAAATCCGAGTTTAAATTATCGCGAAAAGTCAAAGAAGAAATGTTTTGTCAATGAACGTTTCTTCTTAACACATGCTCCTCAATTTCCTGTACACATTGCAAAAGAGGAATTTCTCGCCATCAGGTTCTGTCGCCAAATTTCTTGGTGAATTTTCCCTAAGCTTTCCAGTGGTGTAATAGCAAACTGGTTTACATTACATCTGCGGAACCTTTCCTTCTTTACATACACATTCTTTAGGTTGTACTTCCTCCTGATTATCTTGCATGTTTTATTGCTGTACTGCATTATCTTTTTGAAATTAAAATCACTTATTTATGTATGCATCTCTGTCAATTTTCATCACATTCCACTCATTCTTTCATTGTGTTTATTTTTCTTTGTTAGGCTGTGCATGCAGAATGCTAGATGACACAAATGTTGCATTAAAGAATTTTCAAGCAAACTTTTTTGTGGCATGATATTTTGCAGAGAATATCATTTTATACCATAAATGTTATAAATAAAATTGGTTTCAAACATTCTATAATAAGATAATTGAAAATTTTTTGTAACGTACACTATTATTTGCAACTGAAGTAAACTGAATGACAATTATGAAATCTGTATTAATAATGGATAGATTACAAATTCCTGTCTGTGTTTTGTTTTTTGAATTTTCTTCAGAAAGTTGTATGCTTTTCTGATATTAAGCTTGATATACTTTGGATAATTGAATGCACTTTAATATTTCTCATCAAGAAATATGAACTGTATGTTAAACAAAAATAAATAAATCATCTATTGCACAGCATTGTTGGCTTAAAAGTCACAAACAGCTTAACTTCTGCTAAGATCATCCAAAAAATTTCCTGATTTAATGAATTAGATTTTTTTGAAGTTTACCATCCCAATAAAAATTTCTCCACATAGTCAGTGACTTAAATACTAACCTCATTTCTTTTCCTCCACTATAGATGACATTTTTGTCAGCTACTAGTAAATTCTTGAAATGCTGTTGACCTCTTTATTATTTGTACTTAAATTGCAGCCAAAGATGAATGTTCAATAACTGAAAGGGCTTCTGCTAAATTTAAATCTGTAAACTAATGTTGGTTTTCATGTAATGATATTAGGCATTTTTGAAAAGTTTTTTCGTATTTTTTTAATGTAAATACTTATTGTGTTCTTTTTTTTATTAATTCCTTAATGTGACCCCTCCAAAAGAAAAAAAAATCAGAAAGTGATCTTTTTTCTGTCTCTTTTTTTTATTCTTTAACTCTTTCTTTATTTTAACTGAAAAACTATATTAATAATATGCACTGTGGCATTGGTTTCTTCTTGTTATTTTACTTGTTTTTCGAATGAAGATTTTTTTTGGAGGAGATTGTCTTATGATAAAATTTTGGCTTTGATTTTTAAAGAAGTTCTTAAATTTTCAATAATGAATACTTTTGCTTAAAATAATTTATATTATGTATATTTTTAGCTCATTTGTTGGGATGCTAGAAATATATCATCTCCAACTCAAGTAATGTATTTTGACCAAAAACTTGGAGACCAATCAAATGAGAACAAATCATACAGCATCACATGCCTTGAATATGATCCTACACTGGTAAGTTCACTTTCTCAGATTTACATTCCAGCACTCTGTTTATTCTTTTTAACCAGGCTTGTTAATTGCCAAGCGGCTAAAACTGCTGAACACTAGTAGTGTAACCTTGGTTCAAATCCTGCAGAATGGAAATTTTTTAGCTTTCTGTTAAGTGTATATATGAGTCAATTCATTGTTTAGCTGCTAGTTTTTATGGTACATTTTATGAAAACATTTTCAATTTACAATCTTATGTACAAAATTAATTTTTTAAACAAATTTTGCAATTTTTTTGTAAAGTGACCCAAAACTGATCTAATTTAGGAACTTGTTGTCGCTTCAGAATTGGCTAGAAGAGGGGTTCTCAATCGGGGGGAGGGATTTCTCCTTGAATCTTATAGTTTGAGGCAGAATGTGGTCAGCCTTTTGTTTAGATTTAATTTATGAATATAAAACTGCTTTTATTTACATTTTTAACATTATTTTCTGTAATTTTTTTTGTTTAATTTATAGAACACATTTATCTAAATCTAGATAAATGTAAATATCTAAATCTAGATAAATGTATCTATTTATTTTTTGAGTTTGGAGAATGAGGGAGAATGACCACATGAAAAGGGTGCATGAAGAAAAAAATGCTGAGAACCTCTGGACTAAAAATAAGAACTTAAAAAGAATCTTGTATCCATTTTGGTTCTGAGGAAGGATAATTTCAGAATAAGTTGCTTTTCGTGTATATGTTACTGAATGAATCATTTCCTTTCAGCTGGTAATAATCACAATATTAGTTCACGTAAATTTATGTATATTTTCTTACCGTTTGTACTGAGTAACCAAAATTACCTTTTTATTGCTATTATATGAAAAAAATTAAACATTTCTTTGAAAAACATTAATTTAGACTCATTTTTTATGAAAGCTCTGTGTATAATTTTTTATATAAAAACTTCCAACATTTTAAAGCACTAATTTGCTTGTTTTTCTGTCAGCAGAATCATTGATGACAGATCTTAGACACTTTTATCTTTTATTCTGATTTGTATCTAGAAAACTCTTATAAGAAATGATACTTTTAGCAAGTGTGAGGAAAATATGAAGTAGAATAACAGTATTTAGAATTTCATTTTGGAGATTGTATTTTAGCAATTGAGGAGTCTGATGTACTGCGCATTCTTTATGTCTCCTGCTTCAAGAAAACCTAATGACTCTGCCGAGTAAGAACAGCGTATCAAGGAATTGAAACTGTTGAAAATCTCTTTGTAATTTCTTTCAAACTCTGTGAAGTATAAAAAGTTTTCTTGAACTGCAATTATTGACCTAAAATCTTGAGATGTACTGTGGTTTTTCTGCAGTTGGATACATTAAATTTGAGATTTTTAGCAATTTGTTCATTGTTCCAGAAACAATATTTACATATGCTCAGTGCCGTGATGTAATGGAAATTATAAAATCTAAACTTAAATGTAATACAGGCCTCTAATATTTGGTGGCAACAATTTGAAAAATGAACCGACATTTATAGTGAATCAATGAAAAATGCCAAAACGAAATTACAGCCCTTCTGGGCTAATAATTTCGAAATTAGTAGCTCTTTGGGCTAATAACTAGTGTAAAATGTAAAAATAAACAAATCATTGCTAATGTAAATAAGCAGTACAATAAGCTTTTGTTTCCTGTAATTTGTCTTAAAGTGAATTGTATAATTTTGTTAATAAATGCTTGTTGCTTCATAAATTGCATGTGAATATTCTGATGGTTAGTTAAGTGCATAACACTACAGGATTATTTAATGTATATTAATTTTATGTAATAATTATTTGATTATATTTTAATCATATAGCTTTAAATATTCAGTGCTCAACTATAAAGCAAGAATCGGGAAAATATACAGAATCTGGAACTTAAAATAGCATTTGTAGTATTGTTACTTTAATTTTTACTTTTTCTTCTTGACGTTACGTACATATGGGGCTCGTGTGGATTTGGAGTGAATAACAACGACAGCACTTGATGGAATATCGAACCACACTTTATTGTCCAGTATTATCCAAGACAGCTCCAAAATCACATTTACAGTCGTCAAAGAACAACTGTAAACAGGCTGACACAATCTGCGACACAGCCTCCAGGTTATCAGGCTATAACGGTGGAGATAGCTTCACTGCAAGGCACCAGAGTACAGCTCCCTACTCTGCTCGGTCATTCTCGGAACTCCACGTACTCTAGAAATTCTCCACGCTACAACTTGCAATGCACTCAACGATATACTAGAGTACAGCTCCCGACTCCTTGGTTCAGTCGTTCCTGGAGTTCAACACACTCTCTCGACGATGCAGTAACTGCAATACACTAAGAGACTCTTTCGGTGCACTCGACGACCCATTCGGCATTCACAGACCGAATGTGAACTCGATCGACTCCGCACGGACTAACTGACTTACTCTCCGTGTACCAGCAGGGTTTATATAGCCTTTGGCTTGTGTTCAAGAATATGCTGTGCTAAACCAGTAAGAATTCGTTCCAGAAGGTTCTCTATCCGTCCGTGGCATATTGCCAATTTTGTCGCCAAATGGGCGATTCCTCGCCAAATGTGGCAACCCTGCCTTTTTGCCATTCTCTGGCAACCCTAAACCTGCTTTGCGGGGAAGCCATCTTACTGCGCCTGGACATTTCGTAACAATATGTTATTTCAGCTTTTATTTTTAATGTTCTTGCCATTATAGTTTTAGAGATTTGAAACTAATAATGTTTCTCATTTAAAAATTCAAATTCGTGTGCTTATAATATTTTAATTATTATAATATTTTAAGGGGACACATTATCCTTTCAACTCTTTTTTTTTTTTTTTTTTTTGGTCACATTTTCAAATTTATTGTGAAACTGTAATTAATATTATATTTTAAAAAATATAAAACAAACTTGAAAAAAAAATTGTCAAACCAGTTGGTTATAAAACTTACAATTATTTTTAAAAATTTGCTATTATGTTTTTTGACATTAATAATTTTGCTCTAAATAGCTTGTTTGTGTATTCTTTGCAAATCTAAACAAAACTGTGCTTAAAATATTGTATGCTTCTGTTACCAGATTTAATGAAACATTTTGTTGCCATGAATAGAAAGAAAAAAAAGAGAAAGAAAGAAATCTTATCAATTTAAAAGCATTTTCAAAAATAACTTCTGAGGGTGCAGCTTTGAGATCTTCCATATATATTTAAAAAAGTAGCAAAAAAAAAAAAAAAAAAAAAAAAAAAAATTTTGATAGTTTGACGATATTATTTAGTATTGTGTCCCCTGAAAGAGCTGTTTGAATGAAATAATATTAGAATTCACTGTATAATGACATGGTTAAAATTTTGTACTTCTTAATTGTGTCTCAGTTGTTTCATTTTTGGGATATGTAGATATGTGAACTCTATTTTAGCCAGCTGACATCATACGTGAGACAAGGGCTTTCAATGAAAAAACTGAGAAAGATATATCAGTATGCTTGAAGGTTCGGAGATTAGTGAAAGTGCAGTGCGATCAATTACGATTACCTAATTGCCCATCACATTTGACTACTTCGAAAACAATCTGCAAAGATCCTGCAACATAAAAGATAGAACTAGAAAAGAAAAATCTTGCTGATGCTATTCAAAGTACCATCACAGAAAACAAAAGTATGATGAAGACAGAGAACTGCTGTTTGAATGATTTATGCAATAAAAAAAAGCATGCTACGGCTTTTGGATTTTTGGAACATTTTGAAAATTGAAAATTATGTCTTCATTTTTAATATTGCAGTTGAACCTGTACCTCAAATACAATATTCGATTAACATTAATTATTAAATGTTGGTACAAGTATTTTCTAATAATGCTTCTTTGAAAAGTATTGGTAAATTGAAATTTCCCATGAAAATTATTGACAAAAATATATTAAACGAAGTCTTGAATAAAATTAAACATGCTGGCGGTAATGAAGATGAAGTCATAAGACTGAAACTCATTGCTGCATTAAATATACTATCTGATACTAACTGCATTGATAATGAAAAAAGAAAATGTTATTAAATTTGTAACTGAACAAATCTCAATTCTTCTCCAAACTGCAAAACAGTGTAATCCAGATATACTAATTTTTGCTTCTTAATGTTTCTATATATCCCCTCAGTTGTATAAATTTTTGAGACAAAGTAGATACACTTTACCTCCACATCCAAGTACCATTCGTAATATTAATTTAAAGTACAATGTTGATCCGAAACAAGAAAAAATGGATTGCAATTTCTTATTTTACATAAAATAGATATTCAAATTTTTAGATGAAAGTGATAAAAAGGTAGTTTTATTAATAGATGGAATTCATGTAAAATCTTATTTTGATTATAAGGGGAGTAATTTAATGAAAATGGCCTATAACAATTCAGGAGCTGCTTCAAGTGTACATGTATTTATAATTTCAAGTGTATTGTCATCATATATATTAATAATTTCCTCTTTAGATCGGAATAAGGTAAAATTAGCTTCTACTGATAAATAAGTGTGCTGTAGGTTCACTCGCTTTCAGCGGAGGAGAGAAGTTTCTTCGCATTCTTCCTAGTGACATCATGAGAGACCTGGACGGCCTTGTTTCTTGATGGCCATGATAAAAGCCAGTGTCCTTTTTGTAATGTAAATATGAGTAATTTCCCAATTTTTGATGGCATAAAATTTTGTCTCCATGAAGCATCTCACCCCACAGACAACCTTACTGAACTTTGCTATAATCTAATAAATCTCAATTAATCTTTCTGCTCTTGTGATTCATGTGAACATGATGGTACCTATAATAATATATTCCATATGAAAATGCTGCCCCCCAAGTGGCAGACTAGCCTCCTATAGCTATATCAGTGCCTGGCAGATATTGTTTAGCAATCACATCATACTGGTTTTAATCTAAGCATCTTATCTCTCCCTCCTTACCTGCTTTGCTTAATAAAAAAACAAGTGACTGAGCCAGTTCCAAGTGGGCAGCTGTTGGCATTACAGTTCCATTGTATATCTTCCATCATGTTCATTTTGTTGCATAAAAATTGAAGAACTTTCCATTATAGAGGATTACCAGAAAAATGCTGGAATGCAATATTTTCTTGCTTTAACTGAGCTGAAGTTGATTAGCTCTTGTTCTCCCCCCCCCCAGAGCAAAGAACAATAACAAGAAAAGGAAAGAAAAAGAGATACCAAAATGCATCTTTTTTAGAAACATCCAGGATAGCTTCTAGGATTGACAAAATGATCACAGTAAAACCAAGCCAAAGTCGATAATATCACAGTCACAGTGATATTACTGGTCACAGTGTATCAGTGGCTACCAATTTATATTCGAGTATCAGTTAAATTTTAGTATTGATTATGATGGATAATAATTTTCTACATCTAGTTGAAATTTATTTATTCTGATGCCTTTTTTATACAAATAATAGCACTTTGGTTCTAACAAATATTTTTTTTTATGTTAAAATCTGTTCATAATGTAAGAAAAGCACAGAATGCCAGTTAATGAATTCAAGGTATTCCAGAAATTTTTAGGGAAATCTGTGTTTAAATCAATTAATTTTAAACCTCTTTCTTTACCCATCAGCCTCATCGCTTCATGATGGGTACAGAACAAGGAGTCATGTTGTCTTGCAATCGTAAATTCAAAGAGCCAGCCGAAATGATATCATCCTGCTATTATACACAATCAGGTCCAGTTTTAAGAATAGAGCGAAATGCATTCCTTCCGAAATTATTTGCCTCATGTGATGCTTTTGGAGTAAAAGTAAGTGAAGTCATTTTAAAGTGTATTGAAAAATTATGCTACATTTAAAATTATTTGTTTTTTTAAAGTTTATATCTTGATTATTTTGTGAAAAATCATACTTTTTTTTAAAGATTTCATTTTTAAAAATAAAATTATTTAACACTGTTAAACGATTTCATGTTTATTGAGCTTCATATTTTAGAAATTTTTAAATACATTATAAACTTTTGCTGTGTATACAGGATGTTTACACAGTTTCAGAATGGTTTTTGGGCTTATAGTACCTGGTCCTCTAAGGTTGAGGAAAACTAACAGCCTCTCTAGCTAAAAGCCAGTTAAGGAAAAAGTTAGTTGGTGACTGGCTTTTAGTTAGAAAGGCTGTAAGCTTAGTACGGCAAATTATGAATGCATCGTGAATAATGAATCAATGTAAAAATACAGAGGGTGTTTACACATTTTTAGAATGATTTTGTGATTTTGGATTTCAATAAAGGATTAAAAAAAAAAAATGTTTTGGGGAAAAACATTTTTGGCAACAGCTTATTTGAAATGAGAAATAATGTTTACTACTTTAAAATTTGACCTTTTTTCAGAATGTCACACATGAACAAGTTGTGGTTAGAAGAATATGTTTTTGTGCTTTCCGAAAAGAAATATTCCTATTCTATTATTTAAAAATTATGCGAAAAACATTCAAATTTTGAAGTGCATAATAAGCAACATTGGAAAGGAAAAAATCCTAAAGCATTTTTTTTTCCATGGAAAGAAGACCTCCAAATGCATATACTATTTTTAATGTTTCTAAAATTAAACTGTTGGTAACAAGTGAAAATTTGCTGATGCAGCAAACAATTTAATTGGAGAGTTTTTAAATACATCTGTAGCAACAATAAATAAAATAATAAACCAAAATTTGCAATTTAAAGAAAAGCTAAAAGCACATAAATTTCATTAGCCTTAGCTGAGGCATGCGAATCAAACGCAGAACAATTTGTAGGACCTTGTATGAAATCTATTTAGTAGGAGATAAATGGAAATACATAGTGATTCTTGATAAAGCATGGGTCTAAATAACTGCAACAAGAAGCATCTATTTGATATCAAAAACGAAGAGCTAAAAATGTATAAATCTGGTTCCATCAATGCAGAAAAAGTTTCAGTGTGGGGTTATGATTATTGCAGATATGTCCTACAATGGGAAATCTAAAATAAGAGCAGCAAAAAGAAATATTAAAATCAATTCAAGGTACTATAAAAAGAAAGTTTTAGTAACAGTCATTCCTGTTCTATTTGATGTTATATTTTTGTTTATTCATAAATATATCTGAAATATATTTGTATTTTTGTCAGCAATTAATTTTTTTATTTATTTAGATATGGTCTGAAGATCTCACTAAATCACCTATGTTAAACTTAATGTAAGTAAAAATTATGAAAATTTGTCTAGCCAAATTCTGTGAAAAATTTCCAACAAATTATTTTATCTTGATATTTTTAGATCTCAAGATGGCTATGTGGCTGATGTAGCATGGAGCACATCACATGCATCATTTTTGTTTGTTTGTAAAACAACTGGCAACTTTGAATTATGGGATATCCTCATAAAGAACCATGAGCCTATCATATCTTTTAAAGTAAGTATAGAATTATTAAAAAGTCTCCCAAAGCATACTGTTAGTACATTTATCATACAGGACACAATTATATTTCTTTACTAGAATATTTTATTAGAAAATGTGAAAGTGTGTCTCATGGATGCAATCAGCTGATCAGTGTTCATGTTTACAAAGTGATAAATGTTGTCATATTTTTTTTTTTTTTATTCTATTCTGTTTATATTTGAGATGTGAACTGACAAAAGTATCTGACTGATTTGTTCTGGACATCTTTATTTGTAAAAACTGTTTACTGCTTGAAGTTGTAAAAAAGGTCCCAAATTAAAAAAAAAAAAAAAAAAAAAAAAAAAAAAAAAAAATTTGCTTTTATGGCATGTTCACAAAATTTATATGAATTGTTAACGCACAAAATACTAGTTCAGTATCTGAAAACATTGGAAAATATCAAAATGTTCAATTTAATTATTCTTTGTTTTGAAGTTGTGGAAAGTTTGAAATGGAATTCTAAGTTTTAAAACTTTTATTTTAGAAAACATTTAAGACCTTAATTTTTTATATTTAAAGCTGAGAACTTTGAGACTTTAGTAATACAAGCCATATGATTTTATGATTTGCATTCTACGAACTATTTGTTATAAATTAAAAAGTATTATGAGATGAATGAGTTTTAAGGCATGAGTTGCTACTTTAATTATTGTTTACTTTAGTGATTATTCCTAACCTTAGCAGTGACATTACCATCTTGATTAATATGATTCAGAAAGGCAAAGAGAAAAAATGGCAAAGAAAAAAGAAGGGCGAAGAGGGAAAAAAAAATATGCGATATGGATGCCTAGCTGCAGCTGTTGGTATTCCAAAAATAATAATTGCATACTTTCTTATTTAGTAAAAAGAAACACTCCAAACAGAAAATTCAGTAATTACATTTTACTTTAATGGTTCTTCTCTTTTTCTTTCATTTAATTTTTTTTGTTGCCATTCTTAATTACCAAAAAAATTATTGTAAGTTTGACACCAGCTGAAATTATTATATTAAAAATATGCATATGTAGGCAAAATGAAAATATATTAACATTTTTATTTTAAATCACTACAGATGCACTCAGCTGATCAATGTTTATGTTTACAAGTAATCTGTTGGGAAATGAGAGTTATCAAAAACAACCTAAGAGAGATTATGGAGCAGTAAAAAAATTTTAGTTCTCTCTGTAGCACTCAATGAGTTAACATCAACATTGAGCAATAAAAAATGCATGGTTCTCCTCCAGGTACTGAAGAGAGTTAACATCAATATTAACACATCAAAAAAATTATTTGAGAGAGATTTCTGGGGATTGAAAAACAAAGGTTGAATGTTGTACCAGACCCAGGTATGTTGGTTGATTATTTTAATTTGATGCATTATTCAATTTGTTAAGGGGATTAGGAGCTTTACTAGTGAATAATATAAATTAGATGGTTAACCTATGAGAATGTACACTCCATTCTTATACAGAAGATGTCAATAGCAGTAATAATTTTTTTTTTCAAATTATAACTGCCTACTGTGTTTTTTAGAGTATATCTACATAAAATCTATTTTTTGACATTCCATATTCTCAAATAATTATCCACAAATATGAAATGGGTAAAATTATATTTATCATATTTAATATCAAAATAAATGTAAATTATCATACTGAAATAGACAAAATTTAATTAAATGATAATTTTTATTATTTTCTCCATTAAAATGTGATTATTACTAGATTATTTAAAATTATTAGATATTTTCCTTTTTCTATACATAAATGTTTAAATGTCGTATATCATCTCACCTTATAATATTTTTGTTAAAATTAATATAAAATTCTGTAAAGTTGAATAATACAAAAAATTAGAGATTAATAAGAAAAAATTCAATTAACATATTAAAGTTCATTCATAACATGATATCAAATTTTGCCACTTTCAAATGAATTGTAACATTTTTACATTTTGTAAAGGGGTGAATTTTTTCATAAGTTTCATTTTGTATTAAAAATGATTACGTTTCATTTTTAGGAAACAAAAATTGAAGATAATAAAACCCAATTTAAAAAAATCTGAATGGGTTTGGAGTGTAAGGATATCTAAAAGGGCTCTTTTAAAAGTTAAATATGGTTTATCAATGAAGATTATTAATAGAGATGGCCCAAGTAGAATAGTGAAACATTTTTTATAAGATATTAGATGTATATGCACTTAAGCTAAAATAGGAACATTATATACCTTCTGTATATTTAAAAAGTGAAAAATATGTAATTATAAACATATTGAATGTTTTTAATTAGATATATTATGAATTAAATGCACTTTTATTTCAATCAATCAGCTTTTTAATCTAAAAGTAAAAAAATAATATTTTTAAGAACCACCTTGTTTTAAATAGTTTAGTTTGTTGATAGACAGATTAAATATGAAAGAATAAGAATATCTTACATATTTCCAAATGGCAGCAGACTCAGATGAAAAGTGAAACAATGTAAACTCGTGTTTTGAGACTAGTAGACCTTTTGGCCTAAAATTTTTGCACACAAGTTTAAGATATTTGAACATACTTGAGTGGTAAATATAACTCCAAAATACTATTTAAAGTAATTATTATCTTAATTAAAAGATCATGACTTTAATGGTAACAACTGAAGAAATGAAGTGATAGCAGATCATGGTTTAGGAGAATTCTGTTTATGGAAAAGTGATCAAATATACCACACACGCATGCTTGTGGGTTAAATATGGATGAATATATAAATTAGATGACTGAAGAATAAAATTTTTAATTTTTTTTTTCAATTAAGGATAGCATTGTTTTATTTCATAGCCACCTTGAAATCAGAACAAGCACATTTCTGTATTGTATAGACTTTTTACTGTAACCCTTTCCCAGCAGAAAGTTCTGAAGACTACATCTGTTCATTTCATGATAATTTTTACTGCATATTACATTATGTATTTACTCGGTTTGCCAGGAAATGAAGCAGGAGCAATCTATTACTTCCAGGCATGTGATATTGTGCCAAAAAATCATGATTATTCCAATTCTCATATAATGAAACTGTGCATGACAGAAGGTGTCCAATGGAAATATAAAGAAAATAAAAAGTAACTAAGACCCTTAGTTACTTTAAAACTTAGACATTTAAAAATTTGAAGAAAATACATGATTATTCCAATGCTAATAACTGTCAATAAAATGTTAGAATAAGAACTGGGAATTGGTTTAAGGGAAGTGAATTACTTGTCTTCGTATAAGGTGGCAGAGACAAACTGCCGAGAATAACAATTTATGAGACTGCAAACAATATCCACTAGAAGTCATAAAAATAAAAAAGTCTCAGATTTTGATGACATATGCATTTCTTGAGCATTTTGCTTTCTAGGAGCATTCGAAGCATATTCTAGTAATCAGACAGAAAAATAAAGTTTCCCTCGAAAAAACATTGTCTCAACTCCCATGAACTCTTTTTTTTTTTTTTTTTTTTTTTTTTAACTAGGCAGGCATGTTCTATCCACAGAAAACTGATTATGAAATCTGTTTGTTCTATATATCATGACAGGTTTTCACAAGGTATGAGTGTTCTAAGAATTTTTCCATATCAGCAATTCTTAGCTCTTAAGGCTTTTTGTGCGTGCTCAGTTCTGTAGGATTACATGCAGGAGGAAAAAAGCTATTCCATAGATACATTCTTGGAATTGCACATTCATAGTTAGGTGCAATATATTTTCGTACCTCAGTAAAATCCTTTTTATTTTCTTTTTTGGCTCAGCTATTATAGTCCATTGACGGTAATTTGGCAAATGACCTTGGCTGATTCCATGTTTAAAAACAAACTATTGGATTAGAAATGTTGTAAACACAAAATATGTTTGGAAACCATAATTTTTGCCATACAATTCTTTTGCTCAAAAGTACCCCTGAAAGGAGCAATGGATTTTTAAAAATTTAGAATCTTTGCTGTATATATATATATATATATTGTTTAAATCTTTATGCAAGGGCTGGGACAGAAAATGCCTCTACACATATCAGGTTTAAAAAAAGAGAGTAAGTTTAAAATAGATCTATGTTATATAGGTTTAAAATAGAGAAATGTTAATATATATGTGCAAGATAGAAAATTCAGAAGAAAAGATAAAATCCAAGTTATAGGTGTGTAATTGTTTAGATTTTAATCCATTTGTCAATGTTTGCCAATTAGGTAATTTTTTGTATTATTATTTTTTGGAACTTTTGAAATTTTTTAAGGGAATTTTCAGTGAATTTTTATATCAAAATCTGGACCTTGATAATAACAATAAACCTGTTTAACAGATCTGCTACCACAAAAATATATAAAACTTATTTCATAGCAAAAAAGCATAAATAAATTGTTCCTGCTTAATACCAAAGTATCAAATTTTCTACAAAGACTTTTTTTTAAGGCTGATGATATATATATATATATATATATATATATATATATCTTGTTTTCCTTATTAGAGTTAAAACAGCCCCCAATGAAAGGAATTTTTTCAGGCAGGTAGCTCTAAAGGGTGTATTAGCAGTCAAATACAAAAATATGTATTCGAGAATAGTTTACACTGTGCGGCATGTAAAACGTTTGAGCAGATATAACTTTATATATATTTCTTGTTAATAGTTGGAAACTGATGGTTTAATATGCATCTGTCCTAAGCAAATGGGAGATCAAGTAGCTTGTGGCACTGCTATTGGCTGTATACATTTGCTGCAGGTACCTCAGTACCAGACATCTACATTAAAACATGAAAAAAATCTTGTTGCAGCAGTAAGTATATCATTAATTTTTACCTTGAATTTTATATTTTTATTATATTAGCACACTTATGAATACTTGCACTCTTTTTGACTTATTAAATGCAAGATGCATAGAAAATTTAATGAGATACAGTTTTAACTTTATTTAGGTAGGTACCATGAAAAGAAATTACTTCTGGACTGCATTTTCTTCAAATTTTTAAATGTCTAAGGGTCTTAGTTACTTTTTGATTAACTGCAGCCCCACTGAAAAGTTGCCAACTTTGGAGAGAAATATTTGTTTGGGTGTCTATGATGCATCCGCCAATCTGATACTCAATGATGCATCCGCCAATCTGCAGTTCTTCTTTTTCTATACTAGACACACACATTTCATGGTTTCTGTGCTGTAGCTTTACTTATGTACACAGCAATCTGTTTTTGTTAAAAAAAAATCAGAGAATTGTACAAATTCAGCAACTTGCACAATCGTGGCACCAGAATCCTCAAATGAAAGGATAAAAAAATAAAAAGAGGTGTATGATTCCTTGTAAGACAGCGGTATCATGTTATATGTGTGCAGAAATCTAAGTCTGAGATCTCATTGAAGACAGCAAAAATTGCAATATACAGTCTATCACATTGCTAATATACTGAAATTCCCATAGAAGGGATTATAATCTGCAATCAGAATGGCACGAATGTCCGAAAAATTAGAAAGCTATCTGGTGAGATGCTACACACATCTAGGTTGGCACATAAATACTTTTGGTGATGTGATGCATTGCTTCATCAATACTTTTTGTATCTTTTTGGTGGTAGGGTGGTTAGTCAGAAAGTACTCATTATTATTATTTAATGTCTTAGAAACATTTATTGTTTTTTCTTCTGTAAGAAAGCTCATTCCTTTTTTGTTAAATATAATCTCTGTCTTTGAAGACTATAAGTAATTATTTGAAGGTAATTAATAATATAATTATTTACTGATAGATTCTTTAAAGATATAGAAAATCTTATCTTAGCTGAAAAATTCCTACCTGCAGCTAGTTTGAAATGGGGATTTCATTTTTTATGTGTAATCAAAATTTTTTAAAAAGTGCCTCTTTTTAATATATTTTGGAAGCAAGCATATATCAGTATTAAAGGACTTTAAACTATTTCATCTGATTACAGAACATCAGTATCAATTATCAATTATAATTAGAGATACGCATCTGGCATATATTTGTTAATAAGCTTAGATCCAAACACTTGGCAACAACTGGATATTTTGGATATGAGGCTGAATATTTAGCAAATTAAATATACATGCCCCTTCTCCCCCCAAAAGGAGAAGCCATTTCTTTTAATTTCAAAGTTTTATTGAATTTTTATTATTTAAAAATATTATGAAAAACTTTTTAAAATAAAAACAATGAATAAAAAATTTGCTTTTTAGGTAGAATTTTTCATTTTTATTAGAATGCTTTTTAGGTAGAATTTTTCATTAACAAAATGTTTCAGAGCTTCTTTATCGGAGATTTATACATTCGGCATTTCCAGAATTGGTAAGGTTATGCAGTAAAAATGCACTAATGTCTATAATTATCTTAACATGCATGAAATCGCTGATTTCTCAAAAACGAGCTATAATATTATGAATTGTATGGAATACATAAATGTAAAGGGAAAAAATTAAGAGTACTGCATATGATATAAAACTGTAGCATGAAACAATAAAAGTGGTATAATATGTTAAAAGGAGAGTTCAGAGGAGAAAATAAAAACTCAGATAAAAATTAAGACTTATGAATTTAATATACAGTGTGATCACCTCTGGCTTCTACGCACATATCACAATATGTTTCATAATGGCAATAATGTTGTTAACCACAGTTTAGGAAAATAAGTTTCTCTCCTTCAGCAATGTGGTCATAAAGGCATTGCATCTGGTAGGGGCAACATGTCTACATGCTTTTCCAAGGTAGTCTCCCATAAATTCTCTATCGAATTACGACCAGATTTTGTCAGCCACGGTATTCGCTCAATATCTTAATTTCCAAGGAAACTGTCACCATGGTTTACTTTACACAGATGAGCATTATCATTTATAAAAAGTCATATCCATATGCATCTCTGGGTCTTATTAAGGTTCTAAGACCGTATCCAGATATATCTGGACAAGTTACAGTCCAATTCTTGAAAACCTGTAGATGTGTATGTTGATCTGTCATTATTCCTCCCCATACCAATTATCAAAATGGTCATGTTCGAAGGAGTAATGTTTGACTCCTTCCAGATGTAAATGTGTTTATAATCAGCTGTTAAAACAAACTTTGATTTATCAGTAAAGGTAACATGGGACAATTGGCATTCCCTCCAGTTCTGATGTTCTTCCCTCTTTTGTTGTGAAGATAGTGAAATGCAGATCCTGGGCTTTCTGGCATAAAAGCATTTTTCATTAAACCTTCTGCATTCAGTTTGTTGTGATATAAAAGTTCCAGTTTCGGCTGCAAGCTCTAATTTTAACTGTTGAACAACAGTCTTCCCATTACAACAAACAGCTATTGCCAGATATCAATCTTGAGAAGCAGTTGTCATTAATTTACAACCTTGGCCTTACAATAGGCATTTTCAGAGTTATAAAATTGTTTTCATAGCCTACAGACTGTCTGTCTTTAAATATTCACAGATCTCACTGATTCCATGATTGTGTGTTCTGCTTTCTAAACAGCCGATGATTCATCACTTTACCGATTCTTTCAAATGATACTTTGGAAATATAAAAATAGCATTTTGAGTTCTTACACACTGAAATCAAATGCTATATTGAAGAGATTCAATTAGATATTCACTTTGCACAAAGCTGTTAATTTACTGTCAGATAACATAATGAATTTATTTGCATATCATTTAATCATTTTTGATTATATAATTCTAATCAGACTTGTCTTTGACACATTCCCCGCAGAAAGAGGAGTGCACCAACTGAACATTATGTGGAAAATCATTACTTTATGGCATGTAAAGATAAATTTGGACATAAGTGTAGTAATTTTTTTTTTTTTTGGCAATTCCATTACGTCTTTTCCCATGAAGCATACTTATTTTTGGGAACTCCTTTTCATAACATTCTGCCTCTGATAGAGAAATATATTTTTAGTCATATTAGATATATTAGGCCAATTAATGGCATTTATTTTTTTCAGGTGAATGGTTATGTTTTCTTTTCTGTAACTAGCCCACAAGATATTTATTCAACTACTAGAAAATTAGTTAATCATCTGGTTGTACATAAATTTATTTGAAGACTAAGGTTTCTTGCATATAACAATCAAAAATAATTTATGATTTTTATCAACACAATCTGTACTTTTGTTATTTTAAGATTTAAATTTAATAATGGTCTTGCAGCACTTTTCTTTTTCTTAAATAAGATTTTGGTGAGGAATTTCTTAAATAAGATTTTGGTGAGGAGTAAAATATAGCTACTTTATGTTAATCTCAAATCTCACCAATAAATAAAACCACTTTAAATCAAATTTTAAATTAGTGAAATCTCTTCTAGGTAACCTCCTACGATACTAGTTAGTTTCATTTTTTTTGTGAAAACAGTCATCTTAGAGAGGTGATGTCAACGCCTATATTTGTTTATGCTATTAGACATATTGGTAATTTTCAGAGGTGATCAACCGTGAGAGTGTTCACTGCAGTTCTACTGAAAAGTACTTATTCAATTCAATCATTAAAAAATGTTTATTAAAGTTTCATTCCAAAATGCTTTCATGTTATAATGGGGAGTATTTCACAATACTTAAAGTGACTGAATATTTATTTAATTTTTCTATCACTGAAATGACAAAATAACTGATTTTATTTTTTAGCAATTTCTTTGAAAGGTCTAAATAAATATTAACAACTGTTACTTAGTAGCCACTTATGCCATGAAAAGTTGCAAACTTCTCTACATTAAAAAAATGTATTTTTTAAATAAGAAAGTTTTTAAAAATTTGCAGAAATGCCAAGGAATAAATGCCATGTAACATACAAGTTTATAACAAGCAGATCCTTTCTGTGGAATTTATTTTAGCTTATTGTGTGCCATTGTTGATTTAAAATAAACTAATATTAATAAAAGTAATATCACCATAAAACAAATGCTTCATATTTATGTTTATAAAACATTTTATACTTTTAACTGAAACATTTTGTAGATGATAGACAGAGAAGCAAAGCGTGAAAAGATTCTGGAAGGAAAGACGAGAGAACAACGAATTAGAGAAGAATTTCCAGCAGAACAGTTAGAGGCAAAGGAAGTCACAGAACCAGCTGCCCAAAGCAAATTTAGTGCTGATGATAAAATAGAAAATGCTGAATATGAATCGGCAGAATTCGTTTCACAGTTCGATTCAGACTCGAATGAAGCAGATGATGACGTAGGTGAAAATGATTTCCATGAAATAACATTCATGGATATTCAGTTTAAAGATACTGTCAGAGCAGCTTTAAATACTGAAGAGTAATTGCAAAAAACTATGGTAATTTTTTCAACAGATATTTGTTTAAAAGATTAATTCTAAATATTGATTTATTTAATTCATTTTATGGACAGTGGCCAACAGTTATTTTTAACTTAGCAGTTATAAAAGACACAAAGAGATGCAAGAAAAAAGCTCTAAAATAAAACTGATCAGGGGGAAAAAACCTTTCAAATAAAAAATTTTCCCGCTACATTCTCCTGATTTAAGGCGATGTATTGGGTAAGAAGGATTATCTAATCTTTCTGTAGTTTCTATCAGATATAATATTGCTGTAGCTATTAAATACTATGATGGGTTAGGCTAGGTAATGGCTATCGGGTTGTGAAGTACTTTTTAAGCGAGATTGGTTTGTTTATATGTTATATACATTGGGGGGGGAATGAAAACTACCCATGCAGCCAACTTGTTAGTACATGTTTGCACTTGGATTTGAACTATTATAACATGAATAAATTTACTTAACTAAGGGTTTCATTTTATGGTAGTAACCTTTAATTGCTATTATTTGTTTCAATTAAATTTTCAAAGGGAGTAAAATGGCCCAGTATCGAACAGCGAGCACTTTTGTGTCAATCTTCCTTTAACACTTTGTGCTAATTGCTCTCATGTCACTAAGCGCTTCATGTGAGCAGCATGTAGCTGCAGAATAACTGAATAAAACACATTAATTTTTTTTTCTCGTTGCTAAACAATGAATGGGGTATGAGGTTTCTACGATAGTTGGACATATACAATAGAAATAATATCCAAACATACACAAGACAGCAGTAAACTGCCAAAGCCTTCTTCAAGCACTCATTTGCATCCATAGTGTGCAATGATGGCTGGTGCCGGATGCACATATGCATCCATGGACAACACTGATGATTTTTGTTGGAAGTGTATATGTGCCTATAGCAGTTAAAGGGTTAAGTCTCTTTTAGTTCTTCCATGACAGAGAAAACTCAGTTTCTTAGCCTTCAAGGAGGAATAAAAAACCAAATCTGTTTTTGAGGTTATTCTAGAATGTCAAGTCCCTTCCTACAAGGTCAAGTTGTCAGAGTGCTGGGGCAGCTCTACAACTTACACTTTTGAGGAAGGGCTGAAAAACAAGTCTTCAAGAATGCACAGCACAGCCCTTCAAAAAAGTCGGGCTTTTCATCTAATTTGCAGCAAACACTTAAAACAATGACATCAAGATATCAGGATGATGTTACATTACTAGCATTCAATGGTCTTCACTCAACCACTGATGGGGCCAATATGATGATAAGAATGAATGAATTCGCTAAAATAAAGGTAGGAAAATGCTATTAAAATAATTATAAGCATTCATTTACAAATATATAAGAATAATTTTTTACATATTATTGTAAATATTTGCATTTAATTATTTGTAATTTAGATCTTGCATGTTTTTATAGTGTTATGTATTTTTAATTTAATGCATTTTATATAGTAATTTTGTTGTGTATTTTTGTTTAATCAAATCTGTGGCTTGTGTTTGTGCTTATTTTTTATATTACATTTTAAATTTAATTTTCAGTCCTTCAGTATACAAATTGTAAAGAACGTCAAATAGAACCTGATGGGTAGAAATTCTTGTGAGAGGCCTTGGTGATATTTCGGAAGCTTTTGAAAAATGCACTTTCAAAACTCTGTGAGAAATTATTCTTGGGGCTTCTAGAAGTGCTAAGCAACTCAATACATACAGCTGCAATGGAAAAGGGTTTTATTAAGATTTGAAGGAATCTAGAGCACTCAGCAACAACCTATAGGAACTCAGCAGTACCAATAATCTGTAGAAATCTATAGCACTTAATTTTTGTGTAGACAAAAATTAATTATACACAACTTTGTTTCATCTTATTATTTTTATTCACTAAGAAGTCTAAAAACAAAATCCACAGACTCTTAAAAAAACTTCTTATGGTACTATACTGTTCACAGTATGAGAACAGTTAATACTGTTTTTCTGAGATTTGGTAGGATATTAGATAAGGATTCAAGAGAGCTATCAAGTTATCCTGTATGAAAAGAAAGGAAACCACTGGAACTGTAACTCTTAATGTAACTGGCAAAAGAATAAAATCCCAGAATACTCCCAGTTGAGGAAAAATCATACATGAGCATACTTTGATCGATGAAACAGATGTGAGCAATTCAAGCAGTAAACAGCAGATTGTGGGTTGGAAATTAAATTTCCTCGAAGTTATGTTATGCTTTACCTTATGGGTTTGCACGGATGATTTTGCCGAACTCATGTATGTTATAAATTGAATATGAGATACAGTAAATGCAGATAATACTCTCTTCACCTAGAAATTTAGGTTTAGCAATACTGAAGAGTTTGAAGGAAAAAAAAAATTACAAATACCAACTTGTTTATAACACATGACATACACAAGAGGATATACAGTGCAAAATGACTCAGATGAGAAATAACCTAATTAAGTAGATTTTGTATCAAATAATGTTAGTACTTCAGAAAATGAAGGGAAAAATTTGTTTTGTAAGCCCCTTGCTCTGTTTTTGGCTACAAAATTCAATATTCTGCAATCAGTTCTTAATTTCATTAACATAATTCTTGTAATAAACCAATATACATATAACTACGTCAATATTTTTCTTATTAATCCATTACGCAAACTGATAGTTGCCATCACTGATAGTCATTTAAAAAAAGATGATGATTCATGATGGCATCACCGATAGTCATCTTTTTTAACATGACTATCAGTGATGCCATGATGAATCATCTGGAACTGTGTATGGCTGTCTTAAGGGCCATTCACACTGGGTTTTATCTGAGCTAACAAAGTCAGTCCCGTGTGTTCACTAGCTCTGCTACACTTGAAGTTCAAATTTTTCAACTCAGTCCGCTATGAAGAAAAACTGGTTTTGGAGCTGTGGTGACTAGATAGCTTCATTAGTTTAGATAAACCCCAGTGTGAAAGGCCCTTTAGAGAGGCCTTTATTACATTTTATAACATTGGTGTCAACCTTGGAGTATGATGGCAGTTAGTTAGAAAACGGCCATGTGAAACAAGAGACATCCAGAATATATTAAATAAAGAATATATTGATTATTCGATATTTACAATAGATTTGCATAGAACAGTAATTCATTATATGGAAAACAATATGAACATAAGTAGCTGATGGATAATAACACATATCAAACATGAGAGAAAGAAATAAAATACTTTCTGATGAAAATGGTATCTTCTGTTACGAAATCTGAAAAATAAATAATTAAATACTTGTGATTTTTAATTATAAAAATACTATAATAATTAACAAACTATATTTGCTTACATTAATTACATAGAAGTTAAACTGGAAAAGAAATAAATTTTATATTTTCTACATATTTATCATTTATGTTTAATATTAAAATGCATAACTATATGCATTAATTGCACAGGTAAAAATACAAATATATAATTATAGAGCTTTGTGTACTCTTATTTCTAATAATTAATGTGATAACTTTAGTTGGAAATGTACTAAGAAAAATTTCCAAAATTTGAACTTTTTTTATCGTCCAACAAACATCACATATTTCTCTCACATCTGATAATAAATTTATTAAATTTATGTACAGATTGTTTCAAAACCAATAATCACTTAAAATCTAGCATGCTGAAAGTTCTCTCAATTGGGAAGAACAACAATGTCTTCTGATTTCGTCCTATATGATATTTTCAGTCAAATATATTGGATTGTGCCATTGAAAAGGCTAGAAATGATACCCACATAAAACATTTAAATCTCAGCAAAGCTGCAGTTTAATAACTTGGATTGTGAACAATAAGATCTTCTAATTTCATCCCATATGATATTTCAGTCAAACATATTAGATTGTGCCACTGAAAAGGCAGGAACTGATGCTCACTTAAAATATTTAAATCTCAGCAGAGTTGCAGTTTAATAACTTGGATTGTGAAGTGGCTCTCACTTCTTTCGCTCTTAAAGAAATTGGCAAGACAGTAGAGCAAAAGGTTATTTTCTTTATTGATTCCCAGGCTACCGTAATAACTAAAGATTCTGTTTATGATTGGCGATTGTTTTTAACCCTCTTTTGGAAAGTTTGGAATCGCATTAGTTTACAATTCCTAGCCACTGTGTCATTATTAGAAATGTCCTGGCTGAGACATTATCTTATTTCCTATTGTTAAGAAGTTTATTAAATTCGGTATCAATGCACAGTGATGAAATATTAAAATGACTCTTTGCTAGTGTATGATAAAATATTAAAATTTCTGTAGGGATTTTATTAAGACATGCTGGGATTCCTTATTGAGAGTTGCAGTTTCTGATTATCTGCCTAGAGATATCTATAATCTATCATGGCGAATTTTAATTTTAGAACTGTCCACTTATTTGCAAAAACATCTCTACTGTTTGGGTCCAGTTGACTCATCAAAATGATGTTGAAGATATTTATGCTTTATTGGAGGCAATAAAGTTACAAGAACCAACACAGTATTTATAAATTTACAGGATTAGTTCGAAGGTTTAAATATAGAACCTTTTTCTTCAGCTGTAGAAGTGCAATACTTGCACTTTATGAACATTATACTGATTCTTATTGCTTTAATTAATCCATTAATCTTTATTCGGTATGTTATTATAACTCAAATATGCTTATATTTTACTTGTTTCTAGACTTCACTGAGTTGCCTGACAGAGGCTGTCTGAAAAGGCAAGCTTTGGCATAGAATTGGAGGGGAGGGGAATGGTACTGGCATAATGTCATTTTTCACAACTGGCATGCATGACCTCTGGCCACTGATGGGTGTTTTCCATCCCACATATTGATTATTCAGAGGTCATTGTGGGATCTGAACATGGGGATAAACACAGTAGCAAAAATGTGCCCAGTTAATAGACAAGTATCAAAATCTCTTTATAAAGGTCATTCTCATTGTTTTACTTTGTCACTTATCATTTATCTAATTTCTATTTAGCAGTATATTTATAATGCTAAATAATATAGAATAGAAAAGGTAGCTGCATACCATCTTCAATGTGAGCTGCCAACTGATAGTCTGCTAAGTGTATGATAATGCAATACAAACAGGGTCAAAATATTGCATAATTATGATCCATTATGCAAACATTCAGTAATGCTTATTAACATTAAAATGCTAGTCTTCTATTTCTATTAGTAAAATTCCTAATTATAATAAATGGAGAATAGCATGATGCTAGCGTTATGAATGAAAGCACTTTATATTTTCGAAATATAAAAAAATGACTGAAGAATATTCTGCTAATTATACACAATATATAATGAACTGGTTTTATTTTTTAAAAACACTTGTTCCACTATCATTTTTCTAACCATGCTGCTAAAATTATGCATCATATAAAACAGATTAACAGAAATCAGATACATTCACCAACATGTACTCTAGTCAGTAGTAAAATTAAATGGTGTTAATTTCAAATGAAAAAAAAGCTCAGAGTGTTTTAGGAGGAAAAACTATGGCTCCATTCTTTAGATACAAGAAGACTGTAACATTTGTCTCTTGAAAGGCAAAGTTCTTTTTATTTGAAAATGTAAAATAAAGGAGCTTTATCTTTTGTAAAACAACTAGCAATTTTCAATTAAAATAAAGACTAAGTTCTTACAAGTGTTGCCAGTTATTAAACTTAAATAAGCTCATAAAATAAATTCAAAAGAACACAGCATTTTCCAGTTTTATTAACATTTTATGCTGAAAATTTAGCACTTTTAATTATAAAGTTTATTTGCTTTTGTTTCAATTTTATTAAAACACACATTATATATGCTAATTAATGACATTAAATAGATTGAGAAAATTAACTTACAAATAAATTAAAATGATGCATAGAATAATGTAACTTGCATTCACTCCAATGGTAATAACTTGCTTTATATTCCAATCATGTGACATTTTCAAATTGCTGCTGCTGAAAAAGAATGATAATGTAGCAACATAGTCCCAGAATACATTTCTTGAATATATAAGAAATCAGATAATTTGACAATTAATACCAGACTATAAAAACATCATATAACTTAAAACAAAAATTAAAAGAAAAAAGTGTTAAAAATAATATGAAAAAGTGATGCCTCAATTTATTTTATTGGGGATGATGTTCATGGTTGGATCAAAATCCCAGTTAATCCAAGAGCAATTAAAAATGCAGCAAAGAGGAATAATCCAAATACTAGTTGACAACAGAAAGGGGAATTTCAAGCAGTATAATCAGGAAAATAAGTTCACATTGTAAATCAAATCGGCAATCAAAACAAAAAGAAAACATTATAAATGACATTAAAGAAAATATTTACAACGAACTTGAACAATTCAGGTTAAAATAACACACCGAACAACGATTATTTTAGAAGTCAAACAACAAAAATTAGCGTTATATTTATAAATTTTCAGGATTAGTTTCGATGGTTTAACTAATCCTGGAAAATTTACAAATATAATACAGATTTTTGTTGTTTGACTTCTGAAATAAACTTGAAAAATGTTTTGAGTTTAAACTCAAGTAAAAGAGATGCTTATAACTTTTTTTGTATTTTTATTACAAAGTGTGTATAGAGTCTTATATTATATACAATCAAATTATGTACTATTGTGGAAGGAAATAGCTTCCACATACTATGACAGAGATGGCCAACCTGCGACTCCCGAGCCATATGTGCACTATGCGAAGGATTACTTGTGGCTCTCGATAAATGTACCCGAGTTCCCTTTTCATTTTTGTGTTATTATATTTAAAAAAATTATTATCATTCCATATGTGTTTCAAAATGACTTTTAAATTACTGTCAACAAATATGAAAGACTAAGTGCAATGTTGTAGCAAATATAATTTCCATCCAAGTTAAGAATGATATAACTCATCGAAAACTGCATGAACGAACCTAAACAGTGGTGTAACAGTTTCGTTCATCAGATTTTCTTCCCCTGCGACTGCCTTGTGAATTATGACAACATACTTATTTGAATCATTTTACTCCACTTTAAAATTTGTGAAATCCAAACACCGATCAGTGTTAACTAACAGCATCTCAAAAAATTACTGAGAAGTGCTGTCACCAATTATTCACCAAATTTTAAAGAATTATCAAGAGAAGTAAAATAAATGTGTTTAATTTTTAATATTTAAATTCAATACACACATTTTGTACTTTTATTTATATGTTTTTTAATAAATATAATTTCTGTAAAAAAATTTGTTAATACCTTTTTTGCATACCTTTTAAATACATATTTCATTGTGGCTCGTGAAAAATTCCAAATTTTGAAAAATGGCTCAGTCTATCAAGGACTTGGTCACCCCTGTACTATGACATGATTTGCTTTGGTCATGTCATCCTACAAATTGTTCTTTTCCTTTTTGTGGGTAGTTTTTTTGTTACTAATAGTTTATTATCACAACTCTTCCATTCCTCCACAATAAACATACTTAACTCTTTTTTTTTTTGGCCAGGCCTCAGTTAATTGGAAGTTTAATGTAGTACCAAATAGCTTTCATGAGATATAAAGAAAGATTTGAGGTAATTTATAAATTTACATAAATTGTGAAATTAAATTGGGATTGTTAATTATTTGAATACTTCATTTTTATTTGGAATATACTATATTTTTAATTACAAATTTTCTATGGCTATATGCAGAATATCTGTATATAAATATTGAAAAAATTTAAAACTAATAATATGGGAAAGAATCAACATGGCTAGAGTTAATTTTTAATAAATACTAATAATCAGTTTTTCTTCTAATATTATTAGAAAACAAATGTATACAATTCATTTTCCTGTTTTAATTCTTATATTTAATATCCAATACTAAAAACTTTCTCTGCAAACATTAATATATGACACTGCTAATTCTTAAAACAACTTACAATAAAAATATAAATGTTTGACATAAAAATTACGTCTGTTTGAATAGCCAATTCAGTAATAAATTATTCACTCCTTTTTAATACTTGTGCACATATCCATAAATATAATTAAGACACACTTGACCAGCAATTGGGTGTTTAATTTTGTAACAATGCTGATAATTTGAAAGCAATATATAGTAGAAAGAAAATGAAATATTTGCTCAGTGTTGTACTTGAGATTGTGTGGATTTTAAGAGTTTCATTAATTTCAGGTTATATAATAATAATAATAAAACATCCGATTTAGATCATAATATAATATTCTAAATGACAAAAACTGAAATACTCATAACAAAAATTATACACACTGTTAGCATAAATATTATTTTAAAATTTATGTGTGATATAACCTATTAAATGACTGGAATTTAATGCATGTTGAAGTAATCATATTTGCAAGGAATATACAAAGCTGTACAGGAAAAGAAAATAAAAAAGATCATATTCTTATTTTACTGATAATGAGTTATTTTAATTTTAAACCTTATGGCTTAACTATTAAATTTTTATGATTACCAATGATACCAATTACCAATGATATGTTGCACATTGAAATGGAATTTTACAAACTGTACTAAATATTTTAAACCTCTTAGCTGAAAATGTGGACAAATCTCTTACAAAAAAAAAAAAAAAAAAAAAAAAACTCCCATAATCATTATTTTGAGCAGAGTTCATTTATTACAGATTAATCATATATTTAGTTAGCAGAAATTGTTTTACAGTTTGCAAATCATTGTAGTTTGCTGCATATAAGAAAACATGAACAGAATAATTTCTTCAATATCATAACATCTCTGAGTTTTTGAATTTTAAAAAAGTTTGCTGCATGCATAATCGTGTTGTACAGTGAATGAACTGGAACAATGTTTGGAACCTACCAATCAAAAATCTTTTATCATTAGCAACCTCTGGCATTCAATGACTTTTAAATTAACTTGCACTTACAAGATTGTGAAATGATTTGACAGAGAATTTAATTTCATCATGGATTATTATTTTTTTAAATAATAATAAAAAGAAATCTTCTGTTAAAATAGAAATGTACTTAATTCAAAGCATCAGGATTTATGTCATATTATGAAAAGAATTTCTTTTTTAGTATTCGATTAGATTTTTAACGTAATGAAATTTGTACAGATATTTGAATTGCAACGAAACCTCTCATGGGGACTAAGATGATCATTTAGTATTCTAAAGTATTAAAATCATAATTAAATAATAGTATTGAATATTACCAATAGTTATGTTCTCTAAGGAAATCACTTCTACAGAATATAATGTCTAGAACCATATATGTTTATCTTGAAGAGGTTTCATTGTACATGCCAAAAAAATTTGTTGTGAAGTCTCTGGTAAAAATTTGAATCTTTATAGCACATTATTATTAGCTATGGGTTCCCAGAGATCACTTTTATAAACTATACTAGAGGTACAGGAAGAAATTTGCACTTCATTAAAATAAATAACAGCTGCATAGAGATTAATAGCTATAAACAGCCAATGGAGAAAAACTGATTAGGCAAATTCTTTTTAATATAGGAAGAGTATTGCAGATCACCAAAATCACGCTCAGTGCAAAGTGTAAAGTAGTAATCAATGAGCAGAAAAGTTCAATACAATCACACTACTATTCTGAACTGAATCACTGAACTAATTCTTAGCATCAGTGCTCACTGACGAAGGAAACCTGTTAAGAGGGTTTCAGCCTATATCTCAGGTTCTACCTGAACTACTGTTATAATTCAAATACTGACACATTTAGAATTACAAGATCTACAATGCAGTACATGAAATAAGCACTGAAAAACCTAAGACGTAGCAAAAAATTCAGCTAAGCAAAAAATATATAATAAAATTATTATTTAAAAATGTAATAAAACATTAAACATAAAACATTATAAAAACACATGAAAACCAAAATACAATCAAATAACACTTTTACAATAATATATATGATAAAAATTGCAACAAATTCTGTTATAAAAATAATTATATATCGTACCTGTTTTTTTCAGACATATTAATTTTACGAGATTCTTCCTTTTTATGAATGTAATTGGACTAAAAAGAAAAAATAGTATATGTTAAAGTAATAGTTTATGCTATTATGAATGATCATTATTTCAAACAAATTCAACAAATACCTTTTTTATCTTTGATAACTTTGGAATCAAATAATTTTCTCTAGAAAATAGAATTTGTTTTTCTATTTCTTCATCTTCCTCAAAATTAAAAGTGTAATCGTTTGAGATGAAGCTAAAATGCTTTAATTGCCACAGAGTTACCACATCATGTAAATGATCATCTGTAAATAACAAAACATTAAAAAAAAGTGAGACAATACAATCACATTTTTATCAATGTAAATGCCAACTGTTATTAATAGTAGACACTCTGTACTTACTTAGACTGTATTCATTATGAAAATCCAGTAAATAAAATGGAAAATTATAAACCACTGAATTTGATGGCTGTACCTGAAATTAAATGTTTCATTTTACATTGAGGTTTTCAGACTAGGAATTTGTATAATAACACCATATAATTCCATGTGTAAAAGCCAAGAATTTTCAACACATTTTTTATTGCTGAAATTTGGAGGTCAGCTATATAAGTTAAAAATGACTCATAAATAAATTAATCACAAAAAATAATTGAAAATAACTAAAAAATATTATTAGTCTAAAGGGTCAACTTTGCTTAGAAGGGCTATTAATTTCGTTTTGGCATTTTGCATTAAATCACTTTTCAGATTGTTGCCACAAAATATTTGGAATTTGTTTTGTTGTCTAGTTCGTATTTTGTAAAACTTTAATGAAGTTTTGATTAACAAACTCAACGATTTGGAAGCGAGCAATGGCAACACTGTACATGAAAAACAAAATTATCTCCAGTAGAGGTAGTGTGTATAAAAAATTCTAAAGATATGCTCTTTTAAAATTATTTTGTGATATTGCTGTTGAATTGAATTTTATGGTTTAAGTGTGAAGAGCATGATATTTAACACACAAAATGCACAAAAAACCACACAAAATATTAAAAAGGCCCCTTTGGGCACACTATAAAAATCTGGGGAAAAAAATGTGAAAGGTTTCAGATTTTAAATTACGTACAAAGGGGTAACGTTTTGTGTGTTACTTTTATTTATTAAATATCATGTTCTACGTAGTCAAACCATAAAATTCAATTCAACAGCAATATCACAAATTAATTTTAAAATCAGCATATCTTTAGAATTTCTGATACAGAGTCTCGATGGAGATAAAAAAAAATAAATTTTTTTTGATTGCAGCGTTGCCATTGCTCGCTTTGAAATCGTTTGATTTTAATACAAAATTCGTTTAGTTTTTTAATACAAAATTCGTTGAAGTGTTACAAAATATGAAATCGATAATAAAACAAATTTCAAATTAGGGCATCCACATGCCCACATTCTATGGAAGATCACGTTATTCGAATTTTGATGGCTCTTGGTACCACTGTTTTATCACAATGCGAGAAACATACATACATACATTTATGCAGATTCTTCATTATTTAATTTCTTTAAATATAAGACGGAACAATAATATATGGTGGCAACGATTTAAAAAGTGATACAGACTTTTAAAGTTTTCAACGCAAAATTCCAAAACGAAATTAATAGCCCTTCTGGGCAAATTGCCCCTTTGGACTAAAAATTCAAATTAAGACTAATAATTAATAATAATGTTAAATGAAGTCATCTAAACTCATAAGTAATGGAGACAAATGAAATAGAAGAGAAAATTTATTATTATTTTTTTTAAATTTAATATTTATTTTTAAATATTCTTTTATTACATTAGTTATTGCTAATATCGATTTTTATTCAAAAAACATTCATGAAAATAAATAAATAAAAGAAAATCAAGTAAAGAAGTTATTAGTCACCTCATTCCAAGAAAGATTGTTGTTTACAGTATCCATGATATTGTACAAAAATCTCTAATGGATTGTTCATCTTTTCTATTGGTTTTATAAGTCAGTTGTTGGAATGTATGCTACAGATATAAATATATGCTTTAAATTTGAAATTATGCCTTGATCCATTAGTTGGATTAACGAAGTTGTGTTTGGTGGTTAGAAATCCACTTCTACTGGAATGTATACTGTTAAACTGGATGACTTGGAGCATTGTTAATAAAAAGTAAAGCTTTTGTTTCCATTTTCTTAAATTCACAGTCACAGTTAGCAAATGGGCAAAAATATTTGGTAAACTGAAACTCGAAAATTTTCATAGCGATTCAAGATTTTTCATTGGACTCCCAAATTCCTGGTAAAGATGATTTTGAAATTTTCTTCAATGCTTTTGGATTTTTGAAATAATAAACAAGCAGAGATTTTAAATTAAAGTCCCCTTTAGTGTTACCACCTTGTAGAAGTGTTAAATGATGTTTTGCAGCTTTAAATGCCAAACCAACTCAGCAACATCTATGCCACATGCGATTTTAGGAAATACCAATACCATCACAAAATATTGAAACAGTATTATGCAAATATTTAAAGATCATTATTAATTAAAATACATGTGAATATAATTAAGGAAGAAACTTAATAATCATTCTGCAATTTTCAATGATTATAATGAATGTAAATTCTAAACTATATTTATTACTTAACAATCTGCATTTATTACTTTTTAGTACATAATTGATCTAAATTAGATGATTACATGAAACAGTGTTTTGTTAAACATCTTTCTACAATATAAAAATTTTAGAATTCAATGTTGCAAGTTTTGCATTTTTAAAAAGAGGTAATGATTTCCTACTCTTTTTTCAGAAATAATATTTTATATCTGAGGAAAGAAAAATATAAATAAATAGATTACCTGAGTTATCTGTAACATCCAATGCCCAGGTTCCATTGTACCACATTTAATAGTGATGGGATATATTTTCCAAAATGTTTCCTTGAAATCAAATATAAATTACTTTAACAAAAAATTATACTCAACTGAAACATTTTATTATAATATTAGAAATAGAGTTGAAAATTATTTTCATAATGGTATAAATAACTACATGAGCCCTGGCTTTTCACACATACAAGGTGCACAAGAAAAGTTAACATAAACAATGAAATTACAAAGAATAAAATTTTTCTTGATTCATGTTTTTTTGTTCCAGACTATCAGTTGTCAGTAAGGATTGGATGATTATGAGTAGTCTCTGGAAAGAAAGGTGATAGTCTATGTTGTCTGCACCAGGATAAACAACAGCGATATTGTAGATAAAGATGCCACAGAGAGGACAATTCAAGAAATCAGGAAGCAGTTGGTGGATTCAAATTATGATTATGTTTTGGCTGCTAGAAGGACATAAGATAAAGTTGAATATATGGTAAGAAGCGTTATGCCCTCACACATTTTTTAAGAAAAGTCTGAGAGTGTACTAAAATGTTTCAGCAAATATAATGAAGCCTTGGACTGAAGAAATTTCCATAGGAAGACCGTGTAAGTTACACATAGACTCTGCACCAGCATACAATGGTCTGAAAAACTTAGAAGTGACTTGAGAACATTTCCTCGGCCATGTTCCCCTGATGTGTGGTCTACAAATTCATTAGACTGCAGTCCTCTTGATGTGTGGCTGAAATGATCACTGATGAAATTGCTTGTAAAACTAAAAAAGACCTGTCCTGAAAAAGAATATATGCTGGGCATTTCAAGATTTGTCAACTGGGGAAGATAAAATGTGCCTATTCTTACTTGTAGGGTCATCTGGTGGCTACAATTAATGGAGAAGTGGGTTTCATGGAGTAAATTCCCTAAAGCTTTTGTTTCTGGAATTTTAAACAAATATGAAAAATTAGAACTTTCCCAGATGTATTTCCTATGCTAATTCTATTTCATCCTGTGTAACCTCCATCTAAGCTAGTTTTACAGTCAGAGTTCACCAAAACATCATTCTTTGGGCAGACAGCTCTTTCAAACTTACTTAATAAATTAAAGCAGCCATCTAGTACCTAACCCGTTGAATTATCTAAATAATCATGTATATTTTCTTATTATCTTGTGGCAATCTGACGTTTGACTGCGTGTGCAGCCAATCCAGGTCATGTGGTTTATGTAAAAACTGCTAGCATGGCAGTGAACTCGCTCACTTCGCCCTTAGCTGCATGAATTTTAGTTTAGTGGGTTTGGTTATTCGTTCTGTTATTTCAGTTGTGTTTAAAGTTATGGTGTGTGTGAATAAAAGTTATGTTTAAAGAAAAGGAGTCATGTCAATTCAAGGATATAGACCAAGACCTAACCACCACGCCACCATAATCTTCTCCTTGGAAACACTGGCGATATCAAGCGGCTATCAGAATTTGGTGCCAATCAAAAATTTTCAGCAGTAGCTAGTATAAGAATTGTATCTGGTTTCTAATACAGCAGAATCTACTTTCAGAACATAATCATAATAGACTTGAATAGAAATAATTAATGATATTTATGATAAATAAAATTTAATAATACTTATTTAATAATAGCATTTCAAAGCTGATGTTTATCTGATTTCAGCTACACAATAATATTACAGCCAGTTTTTCTCTGTCTTGTGCATGATTCTACATTTTTAAAAATAATAATCAGCATGCTCCTTTGTTAAGCTCACCATAGCTGAGTAGATGAGACTGCTAAATACTGGTAGTTTGAGCCAGGTTTGAACCCTGGCAAATAAATGGACTGTCTGCACAGGACCTTTTGTGGTAATGTTCTAAATCCAAAAAATATCACTACTGATAGTGAAGAAAGTGATAGATACAGTGGATGGACAAAAATATGGAAACACCTTGTGAAATGCATGTTTAAAAAGAAAGATTGATTTTATTGAAATATGTAGGTGGCGCTGGCATTTTTGACTACTGACGCCACCTATACAACTTCGTAAATGTGCTAAACAGTTCAGTTGTTGTCGGAGTACTGTTATGTGAGGTTGTCATTGCATTATGTCAGAGTTAAGTTAACAGACTTCGAAACGTGGGCAAATTGTTGGAGCACGTATGGTAGGTGCTTCCGTAAGCAAGGTAGCCGAGGTGTTTAGTGTTTCAAGAGGTACTGTATCAAAGATTTATTCCGCATATTTGAAAAGCAGAAAAACATCATCTGCTAAATCACAGCGCGGACGAAATAATAGCATTTCAAAGCTGATGTTTATCTGATCCTGAGTGATCTTGACAGATGATCATTAAGGGCAATTGTGACGAAAAATAAGAAGACCACAGCTGCAAAAGTTACTGCTGAAATGAATGTTGTGTTACCGAACCCTGTGAGTACCAAAACAATTAGAAGGGAGCTTCATAAACAGGGAATTGCTGGCCGTGCTGCAATTGAGAAGCCACTCATCAGTGATGCTAATGCCCATAACAGAAAAGGTGGTGTTAAGAAGTCATAAAGGCCTGGACTATAGAGCAGTGGAAGCGAGTAATATGGTCTGACGAGTCTTCTTTCACATTGTTTCCCACTTCTGGCCGAGTTTACGTCTGGAGAACGCCATCTCAAGCCTATAATACAGACTGCTTGTTGCCAAGAGTGAAACATGGCGAGGGTTCTGTTATGGTTTCGGCAGCCATATCGTGGTTCTCTGCTAGCCCCATGATAACTGTGTCAGGGCACATGACTGCCAAGACTCATGTGAACATTTTGGCAGATCAAGTTCATCCCATGGTACAAACTTGTTCCCCGATGGTGATGGTGTCTTCCAAGACAACAAAGCCCCTGTTCACACAGCTCACATTGCTCAGGACTGGTTTTCTGAGCACGAGGATGAGTTGTCCCATCTTCCCTGGCCACCACAGTCACCAGACCTGAATATTATCGAACCTTTGTGGTCTACATTGGAACGGAAAGTGCGTTCTCGTTATCCACCGCCAACATCGTTATCTGAACTTGCCACCGTTTTGCAGGAAGAATGGTATAATATTCCCTTGGCAAACATACAGGAACTGTATTTATCCATTCCGAGAAGACTGCAAGCTGTTTTGGATGCCAACGGTTTTCCTACACCATATTAAGCAAAGAAACATGTTTTTTTAAAAGGTGTTCCCATATTTTTGTCCAACCCCTGTATGTTTCTGAGAATGAAAAAAATTTCAACTGAAATTAGTGGGAATTCTCAACATGGAAATTACAAGATTTGAATGATGGAACTTAGTAACTGAACAAGAAATTATGTCTATCTATAGAATTAGAGAAAGAACTAGCACAAAAATTGAAGCAGCTTAAAAAACATACGGTGAAAAAAATATTTAATAAATCAAACAACTACTGAGAATTTTTCTGTAAATTTTGATTCCCTTAAGGTCATAAATGCTTCATATTTTTAATTTTAGAATTTCTGCATGTCATCTTACTAGGTTAAAACTGAAGATCTAAAATCTGAAAAAATTTCAAATCTGGAACCGCCAAAATTCCAATGAGTCTGGATCTGACTTTGTACTGCAATTAAAATTATATTAAATGAAAATGATTCCATTAAATTTAAATTTCTTTGAAATTTCCATAACAAAAGCAGGATTGGACCTCAAAAGGGCAGTTTTTATAAGTCGTATAGCATATACATAAGGAACATTGTACCACATAGCTGAAAAATAATGTATACTCTTATTAATGGATCTATTAATTAATTAATTTCATAACCCATTTAATTAAAATTTTACTAGCTAACTCAAATACCTGCCAAGAATATTTACTTTAAATACAGATGTGGTGACAAATTTACTCAGTTTTTTAAGCTTTTATATAATTGTACAACTCTAAATTGTATAACTGTTAAATTGTAAAATTTGTAAAAAATATATTTTGCTCATAACATCATTAAATCATTAAACTAGAACATTTTTTGTAAAACATAAAAAATTTACAAAAAATTGGCAAATATGATATTATTTTTGATAACATTAACATACAAAATTATCATTAACAGGACAGCAATTTTATTTTTTTAATAAGTAGACAGAATAAAAATATCATAAGTTTAAAAAACCATAAAAACCAAAATCTGAATTTTCCATAATATTTATTTTAAGGCATAAAATCTCAGAATAATAAATAATAAACTTTATGAACACTAGAAGTTAAACTAAATTAAGTCTTCTTAGTAGTAATTTCTTTGTTAAAACTTTTTTACCTCTTCAGTTTCCAGATTCATACTACTTGCAGACAGATTTTTATTTTCAATATAATCTTCCAAGTAGAGAGTTTCATTTTTAACACATCTGATATTTTGATCTGGTGAAATTAACTTGAGCATCACTTTAACTGGACTTTTCCGATCGCTGAAGTATAAAGGATCACCAACAAATCCATCTAAATAAATAAATTTTTTGAAAATGAGAATTGATTATTTATTTGTAGCAATATTAATTTCAAGTTATTTAATATGTTAAAGAACATGAAGTTGTTAATTAAATATTAACCTCTGCAATCCAGACTTTCTGTCTCACGAGCAATAAGAACAATGATGAAGACTCCATCACTAAATGCTGGAGCATAGGGTAGAGGCAAACTTTGAGTAAAATCAAATCTGAAAATACATAAGAAATCAGAAAATAAATTATGGCCATTTTAATAATAACAATCACATCAAAATTTTTGTGTAAACCACAACTGCAATAAAAAAAATTCCACATACAGTCAAACCTCATTAACAAACCATCCATGTAACCATTTTCTTTCAAATAACTTATTATTCAGAGTGATTTGAAGTTGTAAGAATAGGCCTTTTTTCAAAACACACAAGCAAAATGAATAAATAAATAGAATCATAAAGAATTTTCATTAAGCATTAAATATGTGTTCTTAAGTCTTTATAAAAGCAACAATAAAAGACAATAAACATAATACTGGAAAGAATAATATTTTAATATTTTGAAATTAATCTTTAACTTCTGGAATAAGCCAATAGCTCTTCATTCAAAATTTTTTATCCTATACATATTTCTAATCTTCTGATGTTGTTTATTTAACAGACAATGTTTTATCCTATACATACTTCTAATCTTCTGATGTTGTTTATGTAACAGACTCAATATAGACACCAATATTAGGCTCTAGACATAACAGCCAAATTCATCAAAAGGTCTTTCTTGGTTATCATTTTTTGAGGTACTCCTTTACAATAGGAACTGCAGTAGAATTTGGAAAACACATATATTTATCTCCTTAAGGAAATGGGAGGCTCATATTTTGTTTGATGACAATGACAACTCATTTAATGAATTTATAAAGGGAAGGAATATAGTGATAAGCTGTAAAAAATTTTGAGAAAAAAAAAAAAAAAAAAAAAAAACTTTTTTTTCTAGAAAACAAATAATGTTATTTACACTGAGAGTTTAAGTGCAACCTAATAGCTTTGAGTCAATATCTCAAATGTTACTTAACTATCAATATATATTACAAAGAAACGAAAAAGGAACTGGTTGAGACTAAAAAAGTATAATCTAATAAGTACATTAATCTATCACATACGTAACTAGATAACAAGGTTTGATTGCTATCATATCAGGAACAAATATTTTTAAATGTACCCTTCGGAATATGTCTGATTATCAGAAATCCATGGTGATATAAATGCCATTCTCAGATCACCATGTGGATAACAGAACCGACTACTTAAAGCAGGTTCCTGAAAATAGGAAAATGTAAAATAATTATAATATCACACAATTTTCAAATTGCAATAAAGTAATGGAAAAAATAAAATCTGAAAATACTTACGAGTATTATTCGAACATTTTTTAAGCGTTCATCTCCTTTGTCAAACTAAAAAAATACATATAATATATAATTTTTTAAATGATCTAATTTGCAGAATGGCAGCACTAGCATTATTGAACATTATATATATATATCATAATTTATATTTCCTAAACAGTATTGATTAAATTGATTATATTATCTCCTAAGTTTAATTAAAGTAGAATTATATATATTAATATATATATATATATAAAACGTGGTACATTACTATATGTCCTTTTCAGATGCAAAAATTTTTGTTTGGTATATGACATTGTTTGAAATATGAGTCAAATTTGATGAGTCATGACTGTGTACTTTACGTTTGCTTACCTGTTTCCAAATAATGTTACGACTGCCCATAAACGCCAGTATGCTCATTGCTACTATTCAATAAACAACCCACATTATAGATCTGAAATTTCAACATGATTTTATGTTTTCTTGCATAATGCTTTGTAACAATAAGTTTTAGGAAAGCTAATAAGAACAGCCAAGCAATGTAGAAAACAGGATCACCATGGAGGTGAAAAAAGGGATTATTGAAAAGTACAAAAATGCCATGCATATCCGGGACTTGAATATCATATATTATATGCCTAATCAAATTTAAGAAATGAATGTCGAAAAATTACTTTTGATTGGAACATTTCACTCATTGGATTTATATTTTAGCACTAAAAAGTGTTATAACAATAAAATATATTTATAAAACAGATTAATTACTTTCCTTTTACTTCTTATTGGAAAAGTTCGTTTGGTGTATGCCCAAAGATCTGGAATGGATTAATGACATATTCTGAGGCACCACTGTATTTAAATAAGATGTTTAAATTCTTTATCATAGAAATATATAAAAAGCATGAAAAAACTGAAAATCTTGTCATTTGATTATATAATTTTCCAAAGGTGTAAAGGAAATTGCAATTAAGAGATATTTATTGCAAGAATATGTTCTTTATTAGCCCAAAGGAGCAATTTGCCTAAAAGGCTATTAATTTTGCTTTGGCATTTTGCATTGGTTCACTATAAACAGCATTTCACTTTTCAAATTTTTGCCACCAAATATTAGAGCCCTGCATTGTATTTAAAATAATTAAATAATGAAGAACATGCATGAATGTATGTATATATTTCTCGCACTGTGAAAAAATAATGGTATCTAGAGACACCTAATTTTGAATATCGTAGTCCTCCACTCCAATATGGGCATCTGTATGTTCAAATTTGAAATTTGTTTTGTAATCTGTTTCATATTTTTTAAAACTTTAACGATTTTTTGATTAACGAACTCAATGATTTCAAAACGCCCTTTAAAATCTGAAAGCTTTCAGATTCCGCTATTTATTTATTTATTTATTATTATTATTTTGTAAATACCAGTTAATAAACATGTCTAAAGATAAAGAAATTTCATATGACAGCATATCTATCCATATTCAAAGCAAGAACACAAGAAATTCCATAATTGCCATTTAGAACAGAAGAAAGATCTAGGTTAGTTTTACTTCATGTGATATAATTTATTTAATCTTCCTTAAAATGATCTACTATCACACTAATTTTACTGGCTATGAAAGAGGTCATAATACTACAGACATCATCTATAAATAACTCAACAATTAGTTCAGGAAAAAAAAAAAAAAAGAATAAACCATATTATAATTAAGAAACACATACTAACTACTGACCTAAATTTTCAAGCAATTTAATTTGGAGTTCCTTTAGTTAAACAAAAGTAAAAAGAAGCACTGTCAATAATGGAAGAACGAGTAGCATTAGAAATGAAAAAGGTTAAGTTATTTGAATAAGGTGAAGTCCACAATGGCTATCTGTCAAAGGGAAGGGATACCACTGTGAAAGACATTTAAGGGGGACGTAGTCTGCATTCACGTTACATATACAGAAAATCATAAAAACCAACCATACAGCCAGCCGACCAGTCCATGCTTAACTACTTTGGCTAATGATGGAGGCTTAGAAATGGAAAAAAAAAAAAAAAAAGAGTATATTAATGACATTTAAGAACAACATTTAAAACAGAAATGAACACCATCAATAACGGAAGAAAAGAATGAAAACACAGTCTTTTGTTTTTTATTGTACATTGTTTATATATTCCAGTTATATAAATCAAATTATATACCACTAAGAGTTCAAATAAGCATTGTCCATAATAAGCAATTTCAAATGTTTTCCAGTCAAAGCCTGGTTTATTGGGAGCTTTTTATGAAAACATATGGGAGTGTTTTTATGAGAGAAAGATTGCAAGCTAATAATAAGGGAAACAAGATAACTCTAGTTACGAAAATCACTTGTTCATCTTTTAAGGCTAACCAAATTAAGTTTACTGTTAATTTATTTATAAATTATTATTTTCGCAATGTGTTCCATACACTTTTTTCTCAATGTCAGTGAATTGCTTTCATTAATCAGTTCCTAGCATGAGGCCTTTGAAATGGACTAGATGTAAAGGAACTGTGTGATACTTAACATATCAACACAATTACCTGGGTGGAGCTTGGTATTTTTTATAGATGAAAAAGAATGATGATTTATAATTAAAAAATTATTACAAATGTATTTTACATTTTCATTGGGTATTATTCGTGAAAATTCATTTATAAACCTATTTATAATTGGATTTTTTCTTTTGTTCTTCTAATAATTTGATGGCAATTGCTTAGAGAAGCGATTTAAAGCAGCTGTCGATTTCCAACAGAAATGTAACAGCAATTTCCTCTGCTCCTTATAAATTGTACAACTACATATTATTTTTAAATTGAGTTGCAACAACTTGAAATGCAACAAAAGAAAGCATAAGAAAATGGTAATGCTGCTTGTTAAAACTGAAGAATTACCATGTGCATGGTTGCCAAGCTTTGTTACATTACATAAGTACCATAGCTGTTTACTTTTTCTGCATGTGTTATATGTGTATCATGTTAGACATTATAGTCCTGTGAAGTATTTTATTTTAAACTCTAACTTAGAGATATCTCGAGTGGTCACTGTTTCCTTCGGCCTCCTGCAATTTTCATTTCATCTCGCTGATACAACAAAATCTATAGAAATGCCAATTTATATCATAAATGAGGTAAAAACAACTTAAAAGAAACATTCTAGTAATTCCAAGAGATGCTTAACAGTAGTGTTCCCAGATGCTGGTTGTATATGCACTAACAAAATTTCATTATCGCAGATTATTTCCAAAATGAGTATTCTAAGCTATTGATATTAAGTCCCTCAGTCCATTTTATGTGTATTAAATATCTTCTTTTACCTCTTTGCTGTTTAACTATTATGTAAAAATATATCAACTAATTCTTTTATTCATACAAAAGGTACTTCTCTATTACCCAATACCTACCAATACATTGCCACAAATACAATCCCTGACTCTAAATCCTGCAAACTGTAGGCAAAGTTCTGGATTCTTCTTGAAAGAATAGATTTTTGTATACCTTTTTCATTCCTTTTGATGTTAATGTTCTATTTTTCATTTTTTTTCTTTTTTTCTTCTACTAACAGAAGGTGGGATACCTTCTTCCTTCCTTCTTTATTTCAATATCAATTTTAGTTGAGTTAAAGCAAGAACATATCTGCGTTGCATCAGTTTCTGGTAATTTGTTTCCCATGGAAAGCTTTTGGAACAATATTTGTTCATCTCATGTTAATTTTTACTGCATCTTGATTTTATGTAATTAGCAGATTTTCTGAGAAATGGAACAGAACGAACATATTATTTCCAAAATTATGGTAGTTCGCAAAACATCACAAGTATTACAATTTTTACACAACAAAAGGTATATGATAGAAATGTAATTTTTTAAAATTTCAATGTCAACTTTACACCAATTAAAATATGCATATACGTATTGTGAAATATTTTGGGAACCTTTTTTCTGTAGAAATTTCTCAAGACATTATTTATCCTTCTTGTGTTAATTTTTAATGCATTTTGCACCATGTGTTTATTCGAATTTCTGAAGAAATTAATTAGAAGCAATCTATTATTTCAAGTATGGAGTGGTTTGTCAAAAAAATCACGAACATCCAATTTTCAAACAATAAAACTGTACATGATGGAAGATATACAATGTAAATTTAATGTCAATAACAGTCAATAAGATATTAGAATATGATTTTTGGTAACTGGTTTGAAAGAAATAACTTAGATTGCTATTTAACAGAGTTCATACAGAGGTGCAAAGAAGCTGTACAAAATAACAATCTGATAAACTTTTGAATGTGATTGCCAAACAGTATACCCCAGAAAAAGAAGAAAAAAAAAAAAAAAAAAAAAAAAAAAAAAAAAACCGTTTCATTTAACTGCTGATGTCAAAAACACATTTCACAGACAGCCAAATGGCACCAACAGATTATTGGTAATTTATGAGCATGTACTGGCTAATACATAAGCTAATACATAATTAAAATTTGATATAATGTTACTCAATCACACAATGCTTGTAATATAAAAATATCTAGCTGCTATTGTTTAATTATTAGCAACAGAATTTACAGATAAAATTAAAAGTTCTTAGATATGACTTCATTAACTAATGAAAGCATTTGCAAACTTACAACAGAAATATCTAACCAGTAATTATAATCTGTTATTGCTTGGAGTCCCTCGACGAGCTTAGATCTGCAACAAGGATCATGGGGAACTAAAGAAGGTGTTATCTGAAGATTTAAAACTGATTCAAAAACAAGTTGCCCTTGTTCAAGTTTTTTTGCATGAGAATATTTAGCAATGGCATCCTCAATTACAGCTCTGAAACAAAAAACAATCTATGAGCAATTATTAAGGACACTTCACTTGATTATATTTCTCGTATTCAGGTACACATATTATCAAAACTCAAATGATTTTGTCTCGATGCTTAAAACAATAAATCCAAAGCATCTTTTATTAATACCAATAACAGTAAATTATTTGTAACTCTGAACAGTCTATGGATAAGAAGCATATTGATGAATGCACTGCACTATTATCTTTTAATTCTATTGTTTTAAAGTGTTGGGAAGAAAGATCAAGACTAAAAGATTAATGGCCAAATGCCTGGCATTTGTATAAAAAAATAACAGTTAATTGTAATTCTATTCAAAACTTTTGTGAAGTGCAAATGGATATGGTCTTTATATTTTGGGTAAAATTACTAGCCCAGTATGATCTTTATTTTTTTAACACTGTGTCTATGAAAAAATTTGTAGGTTTGGGACTCAGGTAAATTAAATTAAACTGCAACATTGGGTTTCAGCGGTACTTCTGAAATAAATGGCTGATATACTACCAAAAACGCCACTTCTAAATCTTATTCCTAGAAGCATTCAACAATCTTAGAATTTATTCTAGATTCTTCTACAAAGATTTTTATGTCTTTGCTTTTTCTCTAATATTCTTCATCTCTCTCACTTCTTCTTCTTTTTATTTTTAATTTTATTTATTCCTATCTCCACGATGTCATTTTTTTGGGAGGGGGGGGGGAACACATTTCTTAGAGAAAATTCTTAGAACAACAGTTGTTCCTCATATGTTGATTTCTATTGCATTTTTCATCATGTGTTTTATAGGCCTGACAAGAAACTAAGCATGCATAATCCATTATTTCCAGGCATGTGATACTTTATCAAAAAATGGCATCTGCGATCCCTGATAAAAAATACAGGATGGAAATGCAGTGCCAACAGAAGCAAGTATTAAAGTAAGGACTAGAAACTGGTACGAGGAAGTCACTTGCTTTATTACACACAAGCTTATCCAGCTTACTGTTTCAATTTGTTTTCATTTGTATTTTATTACAGAAAAATTTACACATCTTAAAATACTTTTTGCTATATTCACCATGAAAATTAAGGCATGTGTCATATCTTGGCACTAACTGCAACATACCCACTTCGTAGAATTCAACTGCCTGCAACCTGAACCAGTTCTAGAACACACTTGCAAAGTGCTGCCGGCAAGAAAGTTCTCGAAATGAGAAAACAAATGGAGGTTGGATGGAGTTAGGCCCGGGTTATAAGGTGGATGACATTATTCTTCCCAACAAAATGAATCAAGCAGCATTGTTGTTATGCCTGTGGTATGAGGCCACATGCTGTCATGTACAGGCACAATATCAGCAGTCAGTAATCTATAATTTTTTTCGGTATTGAAAGCTGAATCTTCTTCAGTGTATCACAGTAAGCTGTAGAGTTGACTGCTGTGCCTTGTTCTATCCAGGCACTAGCAAAATTCCTTGAGGAAAGAAGTGACTTTGCTTTCTTGGATTTTGGGGAACAAGTATGCCACCATTCCAGTGACTGGTAATATATTCATGTTTCATTGCCTTTGACAATTCTTTTCAAAAAATCATTTCCTTCTGTCACTTTTTCGTTGATATTGCGCACCAATTCTTCGGTGATCAACAACAGGCATCTACTGTGCTCATAATGAACATCTTCCCTTCCTTTGTTAAACATCCTAACCCACTTTTGCACCATACCTTCACTCAAACACTTGATAAAGGTTCTTATTTTACAGCTGGCCAATTGGTTTTTTTAAACTTGATTACCAATAAAACATGACTTAAGACATTAAAGTAAACAAACCAAATGGCTAGGCTAATGCATTCTCAAGGTGACCGATCTAATTATGCATGCATGACTATGCTGTCAAGTGCACAGGAAACAGCTAAAATGGTGCTTACTTTCTGGATCAGCTTAGTATAACAGAATTCAAATGGAAGCAGAAACAAGCTGTGAAGAATAGCAATCTAATACTGTGCATAATTTTCAGTGCAACTTGCCAAACAATAATTGTCAGAAATTAAAAACACTTTCATTAATATGCTGGTTTCAAGAATATAATTCATGACCTAAAGGTAGCAAGCTGACAGTGTACTGGAAAGTACCAGCTAATATCCAAGAGCCATTTCTACTTTATTTACAAATTTACCAATACCTGAAAAGTCCATGCTTGCACATACTTTTGAAGAAATTTTTAATGTTGAAATTAGAGGCAATCACAAATACTCTCAATTCCTTATCAAATTATCCATATCATCATATTTTATTTTGCAAAATGTAATACAAAATATTTAGCAAAGTGTCATTGAGAAAGAAGAATGGTGAAGAAGACAGTTTGATATGTTAATATAAACAACAATAATCATTCAACCAATAAGATTATATACCAGATGAAATTTTTGATCTATCAAAATAGAATTTTTTAAATCCACTCAGGGAAACATAAAAGTAAACTCAATATCTCACAAAAAACAAGTGTTGTTTCAACTGTTTAAAAATTTTGAACATACTTCACTACCGATGCAGGCAAAAACTTCTCAAGAAAATGGTGGTAATAATTTTGAGCCAAATCTAGAGCTGCTTTCCGCACTGTATCATATGGCTGGAGATTGAATTTTCGAGCAAAGAAAGATCTATGAGACAAAGAATACAAAGTTGGAATATCTTCAGCAGAAAATAATCCAGGGCCCTAAAAAAATGATAATATTTATTACTTTTGTTTTATTTTTTTAAACACTAAAACAGTTTTTCCCAAAATTTTATTTAAAGGTTATGAAGATGTGCCATAAAACTATTAAGACAGATTTAGTGATAAAATTTTAGTTAGATTTTTCTCTTAAAATCAGACCATATAATCTTAATCTATGCTTGAAATATAAAATTATTATGCAAATAATAATTGGAAATTATCTCATTAGATTCTTAAAACATTTTAAAAATTAATGTAAATTGAGCACCTAGTACTTAGTTACTTGTTATAAATAATTAGGAAAAGATAGTGTTAATTTGTTTAATAAATTGATACATGTTAATGCATATAAAATATAAAATATTTTACATAATAATATCAAAATTTTAAAATATTTTAAATAATGTTAAATAACTGAAATTTTTATATGCAATAACGACAATAAAATTACGGTTTTAACATGTAGTAAAACTAATAAAATTACACACATGGAACAGAACAGTAAAATGTAATTTCTTTTGAAATTTCTATTCAAAAAGGGAGGTGCTTCGATTATTTGCTTATGGCTCAAGAGGGCTATCCTAAGGGAAGGAATACTTTCAAAGAGGACTTTTTAAGAGAAATTGCCTCATATTCATATTGCACACGGAAAAGAACTTTATTTAAAAAATGCACTTCTTATGCTATCAGTTTTTTTTTTTTTACCCACAACTACCAATGTTTAATGACTACCACTCAGGCCCTGGTCCTTTCTATACAAAGGGAATTATGTCTTTTATGACAAGCATAACTATTTTAATAATATTATTTGTAATAATTAGCCTTATTAAGTTAGTTACATTACCAATTTATAGAATCACTGATAAGAGAAATGTTTTTATGATTTTAATTAACTTTAATTAATTTTTATTTAAATATATTTTCAAAATCAAAAATGATATTGATACTTTTTCGTCAAATATTCACATCTGTTTCCGAAAGTTTTATTTCGCTCTTTTTATATCACAAATCATTTCAAAATTTATATTAAAAAAAAATTCTATTCAAAATAAAAAATTTAATTAATTATTTTTAATTTCAGAAATAAATTATATTGATTTTATACTGCTTTTAAATACTAAGAAGCTTCTAAAGAAACTTGTTTAGAATTCTTATTATGGACCAATTTTTTATGAACTAAATTGGATATTTTTGGTAAAATTCTATTAGTTATTCTATACACATTATATGGGACTCTCTGAGTGGGATCCTTGGAAACTGTGCAAATGTTTATAGAATCTGCAGAAATCTCTATACATAACTTTATAGAAGCTGTATCTAAAGTTTTATAGATATCTGACCTCAAATATAGAAAATTAGAAAATAATTCTAAATGATTCTTAAGAAATTTAACATTGGATTTTTTTTATAGAAGTCTTAAGTCATAAGGCATATATTTATACAATTGTATCTAACAGAAGATAGAAAATAATTTCTGCAAGAAAAACATCGATTACAATAACTCTTCATTTACTGTCTGTTTTAAGTAAGGCAGTTTTTTTTTTTAAACTATTTAAAATATCTTCTTTTAGTGATTTGAAAGAAATATTCTACATTTATTTCCCTGACTTATTAAAATATTCAACTTAGAAGAGAAATTACTATAAATATTCAACTTAGAAGAGTGGAAATTCTGTGTTTCTATACATAAGACAAAAAATAAAAGTGGGGGGAAGGGGAGAGGAATTAAAATAGAAATTTACGAATTTTCTCTTACTTGCCCACAAAAGTCAGCATCAATGAAAATATGACGACAAAGATTATCAGCATCCACAAATGAGAATTCTTTAGTTGTATGCATAGGAGATAGGTGCAATGTGTTTCTAAAAAATAAATAGGAGCATTTTAGAATCTTACAACACAAACTATCAGACAAAAATAAATAAATTATCAATACAAATCATTTCTTCAGAAACTGTTTACCTGAAAGGAGAGTTCATTAAAACTGTAGGTATATAACTTTCATCAGGAATAATACGAGTCTGCAGATAAAATTGATACTTGTTGATCAATGGATGGCGCAACTTTTCATTAACAAGATACTCTATGAATTCTCTAGAAAAATTACAAGAAAATGGAAATGAAAGTATATCCATATATTTTTCTAGTTCTTAGTTGTTATATTATTATAAATATTCAACTTAGAAACTGCAATTAAACAATATAAAATAATGATTATGGATAAGAGAGAAATAGCTTTTTCCTTCTGGATTCACAAAATGGTACTCTTTAAATACGTTTGCTTTCACAAATATTTATGATTTCAGTGAAACTAAAATCAACAAAATACACTCGGGTTTTTTAACATTTACTTATTTTGTCTAATATATGCAGACAGTTATTTTAAATTTAAAATAATTTTATGGCACAATATTCATACATTGATAACCTGAGGAGTTATTTTATGAAAAACAATTGATTTAAGAAAATAATGCAATTCGATAATCAAATATTTTTAAAGACAAAGAGATAAAATACTTTTTATTTATATTAATCAAATATAAATTATGGTTTGAAAAACATTAATTCAACTTATGCATTTATTAAAAAACATTCTGTATATGCCTTCTAAAGTTTCAAATTATTAAAAATACATCTGAACTTATGAATACTCACTCAATTCCATGCGAGTCTGTTCACCTTTTCTACAGTTTAATAGCAAATGCTGTTTTATGTCTTATCTCCTTGTATAATATGAAACTCATGAAAATTAGCAATAAAATTAAAATTTTGTTGAGCGTACATTGAATTTTCAGTAAAAAAATTTTCTTCATAATGTATTTGTGTGATTTATTATTTTTTTCCCTAATGAATGAATTCTCACTATTCAATTAAAATACAGTTTAAAACATTAAAATAAGCATTTTAACTACCTAAACCAAATGAAACTATAAAAGGGCCTACCTGCTAAATACACCCCATTGAGAGGAACTGTAGATTTCAAGTTTATCTTCACTGGGAATATTGGGAACAGATGTAACATCATAAACATATTCATCACAGGCATAACTGTGTGAAAGAAAAATTTTAAAACAGAATTTTTCCTTAAGTAAAATGTCAATATGTATCTCTTAATAATTAATATAACTATAAACATTCATACTTTATGCACTGTTAAAATAGATTAAAAAATTATATGGAAGTTTGGAATTATACAACATAAAAAACATTTATTTTTATATTTCTCAAGATGGAAATTATAATTTACAAAAGTCTTTGTATTCTTAAGTTAGTTATCTTTGACTACTAATGTTTTAGAAAATGCTTGTGTAATTAAAATAGAATAGCGAGTTAAAAAAAAAATATATATATATTTATCACAAAAACAATATATATATATATATTTAGATAATTGATACAGATTAAAATTACTACTTTTATAAACTGCAAGTATATAAATTCAGTACCATAAAAAAATAAATTGTATTAATTTGCACAGTTAGTATAATTTTTTTCCCTTTTGTAAATTCATTCCATAAGAGAGAATTTAAACATATAAGTGATAAAACATTATTTTATATTAATTTCGATTCATAATTATTCAAATTGAATTATCAAGATCAAAAGAAAAATTTACAATTTGAAAATACTGTATTAAAGTCTCAAAACATAATTTTATAATGACTTATATTTACAACCATTCAAATCAAATTATAACTAAAAAAATTCCAGTCTGAAATCAGATTATGGTCTAACACAGTAAAAAAGAATTTACTAGCTCATGTGCTCCATATTTAACAGTGTTCATTCTCATTTCATTAGACCCCCAATACAAATCTCAAAGAAGGCATGGGTGTTTGAGTACACAATATCTTTGTAGCATAGGGAAACTTAAAACACTGTTAACTTTAAAGTCTTCTCAAGAGGCTGATGGTGGGAGACCTCTGGATTTGTCCCCTGGAGTGTTCTCTATCAAAATTAGTGCAGAGCAGAGCAAACTGGCAATGTCATCTATGAGATCTCCTATCTGATTTGTTAACTAGATGTGCTGATGACTACACCACAAAAGCAAAAAGAATGCCTTTAAAGAAATTCTAAAAATGAATTTTCACTCAAAAAATTCTTACTTAACTAAATACATTTAAAAAATATCAAAATAACAGACAAATAATAATTAAATAAAATATGACACATAAAATGAGGAAAAAAGAAATCAAAAACTACTCATTTTAAAACTTTTAGCAGAACCTGCACATGCTAAGAGACTGAAAAAATCATCAGTATGTAGGATTGCTTACATGACAAAATGGACAAACACAAAACTGGCTTTTGCATATGCAAGTTTCTAATGAAGTACTTCGTAGAAAATATAAGACATACGAAAGCAATGAAAATATTATCAAGCATATTTTTTCATAAAAAATTAAAGATAAATTAATGCTAAGTAGGACTTACTAAACATTTGCATTTGGAAAAGCTGATTTATTGCCTTCTTTATTGACGGAATGAATGAAAGGTAAAAAGGACAAACCTGAAATGAAAGAAAGTAAAAAGAAGTCATCAATGTGTATATATATAAAAACATACAATTAAATCACAGAAATTCAAACTTAACAAACCTCTGTGGGGTGCCAGAGCTATTGCTAGATCATCTACACTTCTCAGTGGAAGATCTGACCCACTAAGATTTATAACAAAATCCCACAGTCCAAGGCGTAACAGCTCCTCAAAACCCTGGTAAGAAAATATTAAATGTTATATTTTTACGCATTAACCTCTTTGTTCTGGTGCAGAGAAAATGAAGTTTCCCCCATGGGCCTGAGACCTTGGAGTGTAGCATCACTGTACGCCCGAATGCATTTTGCAATTAAGCCTAACATGAAAAAATAATTTTTATAAAATCTCTTTCTATCAAACTATTTGAATTTTTGCATTTATATTAACTAAATGTCTTTCTTATAATAATGTAAACAGAAAATCGTAATGATCACGTAATAATGTAAACAGAAAATCGTAATAATCGTAATGTAACATTAATTATAGGTACATTAATGAGTTACATTTACAGAATTACAAATTTATATACATGTAAAGCAGGGCTTCTTAAACTATGGGTTGCGACCCCATTTAGGGTCGCTTAGCAAAATTCTGGGGTCGCGAGAGATTTTAATGTCAAATATTTATATATAATATATATATACCATTTTATAACATCACTAGAGTTGGCGGAATACAGTGGACTTGCAGCATATAGACACGCGCATTTGTTGAAGGTTTTGAGCTATCCCCACCGACAGTAGTAAACGATCGATGATCGCTATTATTATACTGTGGCTATACATTGTTAGTGCGTTTGTTGGTATCATACATGTTGAATAAACCACGCGCCGCTGACTTCCCACAAGGGAGGAATGCGCGCGCGTACACACGTGCAACCTGTAGCTAAACAATGATTCAATACACGTGCTGGCAAATACACATTAACCAAACCGGTCTGTGGGGCTCTTATAAAAAAGCGTGCATAAATACTTGTAAAACCCGTTGAAAAATTTGTGAATTTTATGCTTTTTAAGCGAATTTTCATAACATTCCATAACTCACATTGACTAAAACGCTTGTGTAAACTAGCCTACTCTGACTGTAATGTGAATTAGTGGAGTGTTGACGCTCTTCTAGTGTGGTCAATTGTCAGTGTCCCCCGTAACAAGATTTTAGTTTTTTTTTTTTATTATTCGGTAATTAATAAATCAATTATTATCTGCAATATGGATAAATGGCTGAACTTAAAGAAGAATGGTAATGACGCAGATGATAATGCTACAAACTCTTCTCAGGCAGGACAAAGTATTGGAAAACAGGCATCTAATGTGCGAAAAAGAAAATATGATGAGTCTTTTCTTCAATTTAGCTTTACATTTCAAAATTGTGACGGTAATGAACAACCTCTTTGTTTGATCTGCAATGAATTATTGGCTTCGGAGAGTATGAAACCATCAAAATTAAAAAGACATCTTGAATCAAAGCATGTTTCGTATGTCAATAAACCAAAAGAATATTTTGAAAGACTGTTGAAATCTTTAAATAAAGAAAAGAAAATCTTTGAAAAACTTATAACTGTTATGAAAAATATTTACTAGCGTCATATGAAGTTTCATACTGTATTGCTAAAAATAAAAAGCCGTTCATCATTGGAGAAGATCTTGTGTTACCTGCTGCTATTAAAATGGTAGAAATACTACATGGAAGAAAATATGGCGATGATATTCGAAAAATTCCTTTGTCGAACGACACTGTCTCGAATAGAATTTCTGATATTAACAAGGATCAATTAATACAACTTATTACAAGAATTAAAGAAAGCCCAAAATTTTCAATTCAGTTGGATGAAACAACTGATATTACTAAATTGGCTCAGTTGTTAGTATATGTCAAGTACGTTTATAAAGAAAGCGTGGAGGAAGAATTGTTATTTTGTCGTCCTATGGAAGACCATACTACAGGGAAAGACATATATTGTAAAGTTGACAAATTTTTAAAAGCAGAAGGTTTAGAATGGAAAAATTGCTGTGGAATATGCACAGATGGTGCAAGAGCGATGACGGGCAAAAATATTGATTTTAAATCATTTTTTCAAGCTGCTCATTACGATCATATAACTTTTACTCACTGCCTTATTCACCGAGAGGCTCTTGCAGCAAAAAAATTAGCACCAGAATTGAACGATGTGCGTCAGGATGCTGTTAAGATCATAAATTTTATTAAGAGCCATGCCCTTAACAGTCGCTTATTTTCAAATCTCTGTAAGGATACGGATTCCAACTACACAACTTTGTTATTACATGCAGAAGTAAGATGGTTGTCAAAGGTCAAAGTTTAAGAAGATTATTGTTATTAAAGGACGAGATCGAAATATTTTTAAAACCGAACGAAAATGTGAACTTGCTGCTTTTTTTTCAAAATGACTTATGCTATCCAAGCTGTGTTATTTGTCAGATATTTTTGCGAAGTTAAACGATCTCAACTTGTCTCTTTCAAGGAAAATATTGCGATATATTTACTTCAAATGATAAAATTGAAAGTTTTTATTAAAAAGATCAACATTTGGAAAAGTAGGGTCGAAAAAAATTCGTTCGAAATGTTTTCCAGTGTTGACAATTTTGTAATCGAGAAAATTCATTGTAAAACTTTTATCGCAAAAATTATTGTAGATCACTTAAAAGTGCTAGAAATACAGTTCTGGACATATTTTAAATTAAATATTGATTTCCAAAAAATAGTTTGGATTCAAAAGCCGTTTTGGATTGGCTTGAGTGAGATTGATCACCTGCCATTTAAAGCTCAAGAGGAATTTGCTGAGCTTTCGAGTGACTCAAACTTAAAACTACAATTTCAAAAAAAGCCCTTGACTGAATTCTGGATCGGAACTAGAACTGAATTTCCCACAATCACTGATATGGCGTTAAATGTACTTCTGCCATTCAACACCACATATTTATGTGAAGTTACTTTCTCAGCTTTAACACATATTAAATCCCAATATCGTTCAGCGTTAAAAAATGTTGAAGAGGTCTTACGTCCAGCAGTTTCAAACATTCCACCAAGATTTGATTTGTTATGCAATAAAAAACAGGCACATCCATCTCATTAAATTTTTTACTTATAACTTTAATTTAATACTTACCACGCAACTACTTGAATATATTCGAGAGAATTAAGACGGTCAGAATCCACTTTTTATTTTTGAAACTATAATAAATACAATTTTATAATTTTTTTTTGTGCAATTTTTAATTTTAGATTTTTGTATGTTTCAAAACGAATTCTAAACTTATATATTTTCATATGTATATGTATATTGTTACCTAATAAATAAATCATCAAAAAAATATTAATTTATTTTTCTTTTATATTTGTATGGGGTCGTCAAGAAACTCGCAATCATAAATGGGGTCGTGAATGACAAAAGTTTAAGAAGCCCTGATGTAAAGCATAAAACAAAATTATTAAACTTAATTGGAACCAACTGGCAATAAACCTTCAAATTCATAAATTTTAATTAAACACATCTCCGCCTCAATTATATGCTTTGCACATTTTTTGTGCAGTATGTTACATCACTATTTCCCTATAATTTATCTGCACTAAGAAACCTTTAGGCAAATTACTTCACATCATTGAAACAAAGATTTTCTGGTTTATAGATATGATGCAGTTAGTATGCCTCACATTTTTTTTTTGCCTGTTGCTGCTTGAATAGGTCCCATCTCTCACTTTGCCTTCTTTCCCTATTGTTTAAAAAATGTGAGTGCATATTTAAAATTTTTGGAAGCAGATCGGCCTCATTAGGCTGTGCTCAGTATGTGTTCGAACAGCAAAATCCTCAAGTAATAAAAATATATTATGCTTAGCCAAGGATTCCAAGGTTCTTCATACGGTTCAAGAGTTAACAACATTTATTACCTGCCTGTATTGTGCATCACATCTATTATCATTTTGACCATGGTGAATTGATTGGTTTCATCTTCTGCAAAAACTACATCATATGTATATATTTCTTTTACATATGAGGATGTGTACTAAATATGCTTTTAATTAACACTATTAATTATTCAAATATAACTTTAAACAATAACTCTATTTTTTAACAATTTTGAGGGGTATGATCGACTTTATCTGGTCACGAGTCCCCTGGTATATATTAGCTTATAATAAGATATTTTGCTTTCTTACTTTCTTTAATAACGTAAATGCCATCTTAACAAATGTAAGATTATGAAAGTAGAGACTAGAATAAATGATTATACAAATTTAGCTAATAAGTGTTGTTTAAATACAGGTCTACATGACAGATCCAAAAACCTGCACCACTCAGAGGGTTAAATAAGATAATTTAAATCATCTTTCGAAAATTCTATGCAATTTAGTTTGAAACATCAGCTTTCAACTACAGCTTTGTCTTATTTAAGGTTGTAATAATAAAGAAATAATAAAGAATCGATTTTGGCATATGTTTGCAAAATTGTTAAACTATGACTGCCATTTGTGATTCATGGTTTATTCAAATCTGTTTCTATTTGTGGCAGAAGTTAATTTTTTTTTATTTATGGTGTAACAAGTATGAAAAAAATAAGAATATGAAGTGTATACGTTGTATATTTTAGAATGTAATATATTTCATATAGATAAATGAAAATTAGTTAAAAATATGGAAGTTTTTATAAATGAAATATTTTTTATTTCTGTTTTGTTACTTATGAATTATGCAGAACATACAGCCAATACAATCATGGTTATTAATCATGTAAATATTTAAAAAAAAATCTGAAATTTATATATACACAAAATGTTGCCTGATTACTGAATTCAGCACTTTCTGATTATTTACACCCCCAGTTTCAACATTTGGCAGCATTGCCACATTTTTTGGATTAACATGCAAATGCAATATTATACATGATTTACATGCTTTATTTAGCCATAATTTTGCTGAATATTAATCATCAGCTGGAAATACATACATATAAGTAAAATGTGCTTTGCCTTTTTCTCCTAAAATTTCTTTTTCTCACCAAATGCTTACTTTTTTATCATTTATGAAGAGAACAATATGTATCAGACATAAAATAAGTTAAACACTTTTTTGTCAATTCACAAAATTACCAATGAGTTAATGACTTTTGATGGGGTATGTGAATAAACAGAAAGTATGTGAAATAAAAACAACGTAAAGAATAATGAATGTATCTGGTAGATTAGGGATCAGCAAGAGAGTGCTACAATAGTAATGTTTAAACCTATCATCTAAAATTTAACAAATAGTAAAAAAAATCTAGAAGAGACTACTGCGATTGCATAATAAATAGGGATATAAGGTAATATTACCTCCAGCTCAGCTCTGACTATAGCGTATGATGCCCATGATGAAGTGAAAGATTGCTCCGGTGGAAGTACAAAGATATTTTTTGCATTAAAATGTGACACAGAAAGCATATACAAGAGTTCCTACAAGTGCATAAAACATATATCTAAATACATTTAATATATAAACAGAGAATATTTAACATATAAAAATGTAATGATAACAGTTAATAATTTTAAAGTCCCCCTATAATAAAATTTTAAGCTTTTATTTAGAATAGTGCTGAGTAATTATTTATTTAGCTGATAAATGCATGATTTAGGTTACTGAACTACTTCTAATATGATCTTGATGCACAATATAACAATATTTAACTATGTTTTTCTGCATTTTATGTTCTTTGGAAAATTTCATTTTGAAAATTTCTTATATATTTAGACTGAAAAATTCTGATTAGGGAAAGAAAGTTTTTATTAGTACTTATGTATTATTCTGTAGATGGTGAAACTATTGCCAATCAGCGAGATTTGATGTCAGTTATGATAAGCATAATGTCAAAACATACTCATAAAATCTGCACTTTCATCTGATGTAACATCAATTGATTTTTGATAAATCACTTTTTTTTTATGAACAGGGTATAAATTAACTCTGCTATATTTTATTCTTGCATTTTCAGGAAAAAAAATATGATGTGGATAGAAAAATTCCTTGTACAGCCTATTAAACTATACACATTTTTGCTGCATTTCATTTAAACTTATTTCTTCAAATACCATTATAGATATATTTCTCATTCAATTACTTTGGATCTCACATCATGGCGAGGCAAAAATACATAAAACTCAAAACATCTTCATTAAAATTTGTAAAATACAAAACATATAAAACACCAAACACAGTTAAAATATATAAAACACCAAACACAGTTAAAACAATATATATATATTTTTTTTACAATTAAAATTACAGTTTCTATACAAAAACAAGCAATTCGACCAGCAAGAAGGCAGATTTCTTGCTTCAGTGCACAAAACTAAAAGTTTACTTTTGGTTCCACCCCACAAAAAGACACTGAAGGTGCAGAAATTGACTTAATTCACCACTCTACTAAGAGTTTTCAAATGTAAAGAAATGGCGGTTTCATTAGGCTTATTAGTACACAGGCAACTTTTAAATTGTTGATAATTCTACAGTTGAATGAAGAATTACTAAAGGCATAAAAACCTTAACTGGAACATAATTCAATAAGTTTTAAAGCAAAAAAAAGCAAAATTTGCCATAATATAAGAATAAAAAAAAACTGAGCTCACTAAGACGAGCAACAGAGTGGATATATATATATATATATATGTATATATACTTATACACTTTTTGTGGATATATATACTTATACACATATTCCAACCAAAAAGGGAAATGCACAATTACATGCTGTAGCAGTGCCAAATACAAAATTTCAACACTCTGAGGATACTTGTTTTTATGTGAGATACATATGCACATAAGTCACGAAAAAAAACCTTTTCTGAATCCATTTTTCAATCTGTTTGGAGAAAAAAGTCGTTTATTCTCTCCATACATACAGATGTCTCACAAAAACATCATATAAATGGATTTGAGCGCAGTCAAAATGGATATTTTCATTGAAATATGATACCTGAAATTTTTCAGGACAACAATATTTCTTTTACTTTGTACATGGAAGTAAAAAAGTTCAAAGGCTGTAGAATCACATTTGTGACTGCACTCCATTTATAGCTCAGCAAAAGAATTAACATGTTTTGAAAAGGGGAAAAAATTAGCAAAATTGGATATGGCCAATAAAACAGTAATGAACTGGAACAAACATCTGTGGGACTTGTGGACTTATAGTGTTTTATGAGTACATATTTCAACGATTTCAGTAAAATTGGAAGACTAAAAATATAGTAGAAATTGATGAAAGCCTTTTAGAAAAACAAAGCATCTTGAATGCTTCTGCCACAGTGGCTATTTGGTGGATTGGGCAGAAAGTCTGAAAATTGCAGATATTGTGAGATTTGCAGACAGATGCGTGGCTCAGAAATATACAGGAACAATTGGTGCACCTTTTGGTAGGACGTTCACCAACGTTCATGGCAGAAACTTTTCATGGTTGACAGGATAATACTTAAGTAACCTTTAATCTCTCCAAGTACTTTTAAATGCAATAAAATATAATTAATCTGTTCGCGCCGACTGTCACGTCTACGTGCCAGCAATGAACACACTCACTTCCCGGCTGACATGCAGGCGTGCCAGAGTGTTTTCCCGTTCAGCCCCGACTGTCACGTATTTGTGCCAGTGTCCTGGAACGTTTTAAAATCTACAATTTCTGCCACAAGATGGCACTGTATGTTCATATGGTTTCAGATACATGTACATTAGACCTTCTACTCGAAGTGAGAGAAGCATGACTCACATACACGTGTTTTTGATTATATAAACAAAAGGGGAGATAAATGTTTCCGAATGGTGTGATTTATGACGTCTCTTTAAATTCGCACGTGGTAGTTGTTTATTGTAAGTAGAGAAGTTTTATTTTCGCTAAAGTGTTGGGTATTTTGGTTTGCAGTTCAGTTTTTAGAAAATCTTGTTAGACGTGAATTCTTTCTGTTTTTACCGTTGCAATGTCGAACTGTCAAAAATGTTTAACAGAGCATAAAATAGCAGAAATGATGCAAAATATTTCAGATATTGATTCTAAATATACCACACCAAGATCAGCAGAATCATTAAATCCGCTCAGATTAACTGAAAGACATTTTCCAAAACTTTGTTCAGAAGAGACTGATAAGAAAATGAGACGACGATGCTTCGTTTGTTCATATTCCCGGAAAAATCCTCCAAAACGGCAAATGAGTTATTACGAGTGCAAGGAATGTAACGTAGGACTGTGTGTAGATCCCTGTTTTCAAATTTTTCATACGAAAAGAGAATTTTAAGTAATATATTTAGTTTTCAGATGTATAATGTTAAAAGTCATAAAATGGTGAGTAAGGAAAATAAAATGTGTAAAATATGCATTTAAACAAGAAATAAGGTAATTAAAGTATATATAAAAATATCTATAAAGCATAAACCGTTTAAATACTCTATACAGCATTATTAAACAATGCGTTGATACTTCAGAAATTTCATGGATTTAGGCTTAATAGCAAAAAAGGCCCCGGCCCTGGGCAGACGCTCGCATAAGACACTGCCGGCCTCCGCGATAAGCGTGTGTTTGTGCTACCTGGCGCGAAGGCGTTATTTGATCTGAACTGGCTTAATCTCTTGTAGGCATTTGTAGAAGTTCTTATGACAATTCAAGCAATGTTATTTAGTTATCGTTGTATTTAACTTAATAATCAATTAATGTTTATATTTATTTTGGTTTGCATGAATATATGGTAAATTACTAAATTTATTTAAACAATGCTATGTACATTAACGTTTTGAGGTCTAGTTGAATATGGCAAAGTACACTATGGCTATCTAGCTAAGGGAAGGGATGCTTTCATGGAGGACTTTCTATGAGAACCTTCTTGCTCAATTAAAGTTTCATTAATTTAATAAATTTAATTAATTTAAGGGAAATATTTTACTTAGTAAAGGCTAAAAACTGAAAACCTGGAGATTTGGCAATCTACGAATTAATGGATGTGAAGAAAAACCCAGACAGCTGGCCTCTGTAAACAAATATCACTATTAATAATATAAAAAAACTGTTCTGCTTTAAAAATGTTTTTTTTCTGTCTCTTGCATAAATAGCCACGTTCATGTTTATGCTCAGTTGCCATTACATCACATGTCAAGCTCATGCAGTTCTTTCTAATTGATCTCAGTATTTAGAAAAACTTTACTCCTTAATTTCTTTCCTGCTAGTGTAGTATTGGCTTCCCCCCATGGTGTTATGTTTCTTGTGATAAGACAATGAAATGAAATATGTATTTGGTGATTTCTGATTAAAGCCCCACTAAAAAATGTTCAGTCATTGGAAGAAAAATCGTCTCAGGTAAAATATAAAGTTGCTTAAATATTCTTACTTCTCTGATTTCAGTTGCTTGTTTATCCACATGAATAAGATATAAATACTGTTCTCTGTATATAGAATGCAGCAACTCAATCTACGAAAACAAAACAAAAACTATTGATAATTAATTTTTTTAAGTAATTAAAATAAAAAGGAATAATACATAAATATATCTTACAATTGCAGGAACACTTTCATGACACATTATCAAAAAGGCTAAGCGTGCAGGTACCACTTCACTATGATGCTCAGATAAAACTAATAAATGAGAAAAATTAATACTCAGAGAATCATAAAAGCAAACAGGAGGGAAAAAATCCCAATTTATCTTTCATTGCAAATGTTATATATATATAATTTAAATTTTACACTTAAAAATGTATGTCATAAAGTATTATTATTTTGAAGCTTTCTAATGAATTAAATTCTTTAGATTGCAAAATTCTGAAATTCATTTAATAAAGAATTATTAAAACTCATATTTTCACTTTTTCACAGTAATATAGTCATATTTTTAAAAGAGTTTTCCTACAAGTAAGAAACAAGTCATTTATTAAATAATATATGAGCAACATTGAATAGAAACTGAAGATAAATACTTTAATGAGCATAATCTGATTAGTCGATTATTATTAAAAAAGACTTACTGCAAAAAGTGTTGTATGACATCTGAACGTCATACAACACTCTCTCTTCTCGAAATAGAAGCTTTAAAGACAATTTTAGCTTTTATGCATTTCCAAAATAACATTTGATTTCTTTACAAAGGTTTGAGTGACTGTTAAATTTTGTAAAACTCTTTTTGCATCTTTAAGTAATAATATGGGAGGTGGGGGTCTTCAATCTTTTTCTCCTCCTTCATTTGGGATTTCAGCTGAGTCCAACATGTGAAATCTATTTTCAATTGCAATTTCCATCGGAGCTTCCTTTTCTGGTACTTTTGCTGTTTTTCTTGGGGAAATCCATTCTTCTTGTTTACTTTCATCGGTTCATCATCCTTCTTTGTTGGGGTGGGAAGTTTATTTATAGCTCTGAGTACTTTTTCAACTCTGTGATTTTCAATCATTCTCTTTATATATTTATGTTTCTCATCTTCTTCTTCATCTTTTGATATGCTGGCTATGTTAAGCTCTGTCTCTGACATCGTTTTTGCTTTCTTGCAGCAGAAAATCTTCTTTCCATAGAGGGAATGTTTTATTCGATTGGAAGGATTGCTCAAAATCTGCCTACTTGACTGCGTCAACTCCGAGAAAATTAGGCAAATCCAAAATGCGACGACCTACACGCTAGCTGTCACCACTCAGGAATGGCGTGACTTGTGGGTAGCGAGCAAGTTTATATATGCAGTTGAATTTTGCAAAGCAGTGTCTAGAAATACAAGACTGCACGAGAGTGTGTGCAAAGCTTACTTGCATTTTTCTTGTCAACATTTTTCATCGAATCATCTTATTCTAACATCAATTATTTATGAACTTTTATATGGAAACTAGGGTTTAGAATTATCACCTAAGAGTAGCATGTAGCAATTAAAAACCTGATTTGAAAGCGGGGAAAAAACTTTGAATGTCAAAAATCACACTAATTTTTAAGTAAACATTTGGATATGTTAATTCTTTTATATTATTTTTATGTTATTAAACTATGAACTATTTTGTACTATATTGTGGCTCATATAACATAGAAAATATAATGCATTTGGTGTAAAAAACAAACAAAAAAAAGTTGTGAATGGAGTTTCTAATAAGTGCAAAATAAAAAAAACATGCACAATTAGTTATACACTAGTCTGAGCCTAATTAATTTCTCTTAGAATTGTTGTTTTATTCAAGGTATAATATTAAAATTCATTAACTTTAATTATGCATAAATACTCACTTTTGTACAAAAATGTTTATCTTGAAATATAGAAGATAAACAAGGCTAAATATGAACTTACAATGCTTATAACGCAGCACATTTCTTCTATAGCCAGGATTAGGTAGAGCATGAAAATTGTACATTCTGCTAATTTTTTGATTTTTTTCAGTCTGAAAAATAAATGACTGCAATTAAAGACCCGAAATAATTGTTTGAACTTCAATTCAGATCGCATAGAAAATAGTTCAATAATATTAATTTAGGAGTCAAAACTTTTCACGGTTCATAACGGCTCCATTTGTTTCCTTAAATTAAAAATAATTTGTATAAAATTATTTACAATAATTTATAATTATTTGCAATAATTTTATAGAATTTATTAATGCTTGAAAATACACTCTAGGCAGAAATTTACAATGGTTAGTATTTGACTTCAAAATTCAGATCTCTGAACACGATCCTACCCAACATGTAAGCATGCAAGTTTGAAAGTTACAAACAAATTACTCTCTTTAAATAAAGATTAATTCTATGTAAACGCAATAAAAAAAAATAAATAAATAATAAAAAAACAAAAAACTTAGAAGTCAATACGAAGCAATTTGCCACAACAGGACTTAAAACACTTCTGTATTTAAAAAATTTTAGTATCACTTTTCAAATGAACAACTAAATACTTAGCTACAAGTCAAAATAATTTTAAAAATAAATAATTAAAATAAAGTTGTTGCTAAATAATTAAATAAATCAGTTAAAAAACCAATTAAAAATATGAATAATAATTACTTAAATTTCTTAGGCATTTAAAATTATTTAATTAATTGAATATAACCTATTCAATCTGCTAATTCATATCACACACTAAAAGAAGCCCTACTTCCATTATATCCAGAAAATTTTCATAAGCAGGAAAAAATGCATCATATGCATTGTCTGTCACACTATGCAAATCAGTCCGACCTGCAGGGTTAGCTATTTTGCAGGAAACTATCAAAATAGATGCCATAAAATTTATTTCTATGGGTTGCACATACACTGTTTCATATTTCCACCAGAAAAGAGATCTTCAAGCTTTGTCAACTTGAAGAACCCTTAAAGCTACAATCCTCTTTTGTAAAATTATTATTACTATTTTTTTTTAAATTCTTATAATTTTCAGCAAAATAAATGCTAAAAAAGCACTGAAAATATAATAAATCACATACATTTTATATGGCATGTGTGAAAAGAAAAACAGTATTTAATTACAATTTAATCATAAAAAATATTTAATATTAATTTGGGTAACAATGGAAATAAAGAATGAATATAAATTTATTTTACACATTAGCTGTGCAGTCCGCATGGTATTAATATATATACATATTTTTTAAATTTTGATTTAATGGAGTTATGGTATTTGGAACCCACACAGAATACAGTTGGAAGACTACAGCACTAAAAATGTAGGAACTATTAAAAAGTTTCAGCAATGCACCAAATAATAGCAACATGTGCCAGTATTGCCCATGGAGGTAAGAAGTAAATGGAGTAGACATTTCCCTCAACTGGAGACCAGAAACAGATGTACAGCTCAGATATCACCCCATAGTCTCTTTCTTTTGTCATCCCTTGTTCACTTCCTCATTATAATAGGAGTTTGATATCCTAGTGTCAATGGTATACTTGACAATAAATTTGATATGCTTTAAATTTAAAATGATACAATAGTTTGTTCCTCTGCAACTGGATGTTCAGGAAGAGCTGAAGCATAAAAAGCCAATGGTTTAAGTCTCTAGAAGTATTTAGTTTTTTTTACTTCCAAAGTACTCCATATTTTTCTTTTCCTTTCCATTTGAATTGTTTCTTTCATGTTAAATTACTTAGATTTAGTTTTGTATTGAAAATATTTGTTTATAGTTATGCTGGATATAAGATAATGTTAGGTGATATGAATATAAAATTATTTCAACAGCATGCTTAAATTTCTTAACTTTTTAATGAATATTATACATAAAATAATATTTTGTTACATGGTTGAATTATTATTATTTCAAAATGAAAATTATGAGCAAATTAAGTGGATAATTTAAATTATTTAAAACTAGTTTTGGGTTAAATTTATTAAAATTCATATTTTTAGACAATAAATATGAAATCTTTTTACAACATAAATCTGTTTGAGGAAAGTCGATTTTTATATTTTAAATAGTTCAGAGTAATCTTCTGTTATTGGGACTGGATTCAGAAATGTATGTATGTAGGCATGTGTGTGTATGTGTTCATGTATGCATATATATACATATGCATGCATATATGTACACATGCACACATATATGCACATATATACACTTCTGAATCCATTCCTGATAACATAAGAGTTCTGAATTCAGTATGCGAGTTCATTAACTTTTGATCAAATTGTTTTATTAAACGTGCAAAATTCTGAAAGTAAATTCAAAAACCTAATTAACATAAATGTTTATGTTAATCACTAATGCAAAATATTAATAAAATCATGCAAAATATTAATAAAAAAAGCTCTGAAGCTTCAAAACTTGGTCTTTTTTAATGCTTCTATTATTATTTCTTAACTTAGAATGAAGTCTAAATGTTTATTTTTTTAAGAATTTATTTAAATAATTTAAAAAAAAATTATAACTAAGAGTTTTTCTTAGTTTCATTTTTATATTTCCCTCTATAAGGAAGGTACTGTTCATAAAAGTAGCATTGGAATTGAGAAAGTGAGTGTTAGATTAGTGAACTTAGAAACTAATTAAACTGTGAAGAATAAATACATTTTGGCTCTGCATGCCAAAGAAGAAATCAACCTTCCCTTCTTAATTATGGAAAGAACAGTGGAGATTTATTTTTGCCATCACCTGATGCATTGCATAAATGCAAAGAAATAGAGAAAACTTCTTAGAAGGGTATAACCTTAAATAATCAAACTTTGCCAGCCACTAATAAATGCTAACACATTATCCAATTTCTCGAAGTGCATTCCATTGGATAAAACATTTTGAACTCTTCATTCTACCATATGCTAGATCAAATGCTGACAGAAAATCATGCTGGGCACATAATTCAAGCAATAAGTAAAGATAACCTAAGAATCAGATGCGTATACCGGTGTAAAGAATTTTTAAAATGTTACATATCCCCCCAAAAAACATATTTAATAAATTAGGATTGTTTAAAAGAGAATAATTTTTATGTGTATTGATTAATACTAAAGAAATTATATTAATAATGAAAACAAATATTTAACATGTTCTTGACGTAGCCTAATTGAAAAGAATGTTCTGATTTTGTTGAAATCTTAAGTGATGTTCTAAACCAGTTTTAATTTGCTTAATTTTTTATCTTAGTTAATTAATGTGAACTATTTAACTTACTTTTAATCAAACTGAATTTGATAAGATCTGTGTTAATTTTGCTTACAGTTCAAGATCTCATTTATAATAATACTTGCAATATTTATGTGCAAAATTTTAAAAAGTGTACATACAAATAATTGCATGTAAATGAAATCTGTGAAATACTATAATTAATTTTTTAAATTATGAAAAGACAGAAGTGTTTTGTTTGATATTATTTCTTTAGAGTAACATCATGTCTCTTTTTTGCACATCCCCCCAATATTAATAATAATAATTAAAAAATGTTAATTGAAGTATATGACCTCTACAGCAAGCTATCGCTCTTAGAATTTAAGATGTAACTCTAAAAATTCTTATATGATAACTATTTTTTAGCTTGCATTTCTATAAAAATTAAGTTTTTTGAAGTATAATCTGAATTTACTAATTTTAAAACAATTACAATAAATTTCAGTTCACTGATATAAAAATCTATTTGATATTCTTTTGCTGAATGTACTTAATAACTTTTATCCAAGGTTTTTTAATTATTATATGAATCTATTTAAATGTAGGAGCTACAAGAATTATGTAACTTAATATTGCCTTCATGGCACCCTTCATTTTATTTTACTTTATTATGTTTTAAATTTCTGATGATATTCATATTTCCTTTAAGAATACAGTGAATGCTAATAAAAATAAGTTAGTACTGTTCATCGAGTTTCATGGAATAATTTGTTATTTTTTCCTCCCCCTTATGTATATTAAAAAATTATTTAGAAGTTTTATTTTAAATGGAATCTAATCCTATACAGAAAAAATAAATATGCACATGTGTTAAATGATGAGAAGGGTTACATTAGTTACCCAGCATATAAGCATAGAAAAAGTTAGAATATTAATTTATTTGTAGTAATTTGAATGCAAAATTTATCATGAAACTTCCATTTTTATTTATAATATGGATGATTTTTTAATAAACATAATTTTTTTGATATGTTATGTATATTTTCTTCCATTCTTGTTTTTAGTTGTTCAGCTGGTGGTGAAGAATTTCTAAAAAAAAAAAACTATATTACATGTAACATAATTTTTTTATATTTAAGTATTATTTATTAATATCACATCTGGGTACAATGCTGATTTTATTAGAGCAAGTGAAATTATTCATCAGTATTTAAAGAGCCAAGGAGAAGTAATAGCTTTGAAATCATATTTACATGATATTTAAAGACATTTATTAATAGCTTACTGCAAGCGGTTAATGCTTCTAAAATTTGATGTTGTCGTCTTGTCCATGAATTTCAAGGAAGAATGGTTACCAGAGTCTCAAGGAGGTTAAACTTCAACTTCCACCCCAATTTTGAGGGAGAGCAACTCGGACCAGAGGTCCGAGTTGGGGGGGGGGAGGTCCGAAGATTTCCACCCTCTCCCCTTCCCACCAAACTACAGGAGAGGACTTTCAACTTGCCATAGAGTGCCCCATGCTGCAAAGGCACTATACATTTACAAACATCCATGCCTTCTCTGGGATTCGAACCCGGGCCTTTCAGGGCCGCAGTAAGCTTCCCTAGCCACTATACCATCTGGCTGGCATGCTTCTAAAATTTAACTGTGGTAAGTTAAAAAAAGCTTTAATAGTGCAACCAAAAAAATTCAGTTTTCTTAGAAAGTATTATTATTAGTATGTTTAAGATATTGAAAAACACAAAGTCAAATATAAGTAGCAAGTGACAGATAAATAAAAGAGAGTGAGGTAGGAAAACTTATCAGCAGAAGGTTCAATCAGTTGCACAGTGAGTCTCAATTACATAGTGTTGCCACTTTTCAGAGAATCAGTAAGCAAATTCATTATACTTTACATTTAACTATGAATTTATATATTTAAACAAATATCACACTACTTTTCATTAACTTATTTTGCTTTCACGAATTTTAAAAAATATTTTTCTAGTTCATTATAATTAGTTCAAAATTTGAATTAATTATCGGGTGAACAAAAATCAGAAACACTAAGGTATGATGCCTGTAATGTAGCAAAACCTACCACCCTATAAAATAAATGAAAATAATTTTCATATAAGCTTATAAAACTATCCCATCCAAACACAGAGGTCTTTATAAAGGAATTTCTAAAGAATTATAGCTTCATACTATGAGTTAAAAAAATATATCTGAATAAAATATCAACCATTACAAAAATAATTAGCTCACAGAGTTGTACTAAAAAGTACTAGATTAAAAATATGAAACTGTACACATAGAATTTATACATATAAGATGAAAACCTTTAACAAGTAGCCGAAATTTATTTTACAAACTTTGAAAAAAATTAAATTGTCTGCAATAAAATAAGAAATTGTAAATAAAAAGTAATAATCATAAACACTTTCGAAAGCAGAACATTTTAAACTACCTTATTATTATGATACATTGGTGGTATGCAAAGTCCTTGTTTGTTGTACTGAAAAGCACAGAACACTTGCTTCAATTCCTCTGCACAGTTTTTTGATTTTGTCCTGGAAATGTACATTTTACATATAAAAATATGAGATATTTTTAAGAATGAAGAAAATTTTGAAATTAATTACTTGAAATTCCCACCTTCCTAAAATGGTCCACATCTTTACAGCAATATCTTCATTAGGCAAAGGCACTTCATCACATTTTCCAAAATAACTAAAATAAAATTCCAAATAAGCTACAAAAACATATGAGACTTTAACAAATAATTGGAAATATCAAATTGTTGAATAATAATGTACCAATATGAGACTAATTATAATATTATTTTTTGGAAAATAGATAACAGGATCAAGATAAACAGAAGCTACATTAATAAAAAAAATTAATACCTTCTAATATCTACATTAGCTATTATGATTACTAACTTGCCATCATTTCAAAATCAAACCTACTGAATAGGCAGCTATGATGCTATTATATTTGTTATTATTTTAAATCATCATCTCTCCAAATATTGATTGCATTTGGTAGTGACAAAAAGTGCTAAAAAATTATACTTAAAATGAAAGATTAGATCATGGGTAATTTTCCCCTGACATCTAAATCACATTGTTGAAACAAGCAGAAATTTAATTTGATAAGTTTGTGACTTTTTATCAATCAATTCCATGTCAGTATTAGATGAATGTAACAATACATTATAAATATTTATTATATACAACAAAATAAGCTGTCTTCAAAAATTTCAACCTAAAAACTAGAGAAAAGATGCTATTATCATGATCACCACATATAGCCCATATGCGACCAAGCAGACAACACTTGGCACTTTTGTACAGTTGCTTGATTCCTTAGCATAACTTATCTCTTAGAATATTATTAAAGTCTCTAGTTACATCTTTTAATTCTCTTTGATGCTACTAAAATAATGATCTTTGAGATAAGTCTTCATTTTATGGAAGAATTGCTAGATTTAGAGAGAATCATCATCATAGGTGTAAGAGAAGTGAACTAGTCCAAAAGACAAATTAGCTAGCACCATTGCCAAAGTGATATAATAGTTGCTTACTGTTTGGAACTGAGGATCAGAGATGGCATATGCAACCAATGCTGAGTCTCAAAGTACCTGAAAATTATCACAAGTGACTGTGAGATATTGCAAATGTGAAGCACTAAGCCACAATAATTAACTTTTAGCAATTATATAACAAAATGAATTACAGATGCCTCCCAATAAATCTTTCTTATCTAATTAACAAACTGGAAAAGCAACTATACTCCCTAGTAATACCTCCTGCATAATTAAAAAAATTTACAAAACATCAATATTCCCTAATTAATTAACTTGCAAAGTAACAATATTCTTAATTAACTGAATAACTTGTAAAGCAGCAATACATTTCTAATTAATTACCTTCACATAAATAACTAAATATCCTGCAAAGTACCAGTTATCCCTCTCAGATTCTGGTAGGATCTCATAAGGATATTATTAGTTCTAGCCAATAATTAGGAATATGGCAGCTGTTGTACCTTTGGCGATTAATTCTATACCCATTGTTGAATGACATGAGTACAAGGGCTGTATGTAAATTGTAATCTGCCATCTGGATTGGATTATTTAATTATGGCAAAGCACATGAGGGGTGTCTTTGTGGAGGAGTTTCTAAGGGAAACTGGCTCGTATACCCATTACACATGGGAAAAACCATGAAAACGCCCATGCAGCCAGCCCGTTCGCGGGATTTGAACCTTGGACCGAACTACCAGGGTGCAGCGTCTTTGCCGCTCGGCTGCTAATCTCCCTTCTGAGTATAATATAAATTATTATTATTTTAAGCTAATTTAACATGAAAATAGTTATTTTACAATAATTTTAGCCTTAAAAACTTGTATTAATATAGTTTAGTTAAATAAAAACAATACACTCTGCTCTTGAAATGTTTAAAAATACATATATTTGTACAGATTCAGGAATCCAACAGGGATTTGTATTCTTCAGATCTACATATCAAAGCCTTGTTTTAAATTAAACTGCCAGAATTACAAATGAATTTACATTTTACCAGTGTAAAATGAGAAATAGAATGCATTTAGGCGGAAAAAAATCAAAATTCTGCATTACTTTTAATTTAAGCCACAGTAGGACTGTAATTTAAAAGAAATAATAAAAAATAGCTGCCCTCGAACTTAGGCCCAGTAGGATTTGAAAACCAGAAAAATAAAGATCTTAAATAAGTATTCAAAAATAAAAAATATTCTTAATTATTTAAATAGGTATTAGTATAAATACAAGTTCACTAATTTATTAAGCCACAATAAAATTTCAGAATCCTAATTGAATGGTATTTTAAGAACAACTTTTCATTATCCATTTGTTTATAAATTTAAAATTTCAAACATGAAACTTGTTTTAAATTTCAAAATGTGTAATAATGCTTTAATACTTAAGGATACTTCTGAATACATTCTCTTAAAGCAGGACAATAATTAAAATTAGAAAACTTATCCGAGAAAATTAAAGACTGCTTATAAAATCTTCAACAGCAATAAAAAATAATTACAGCAAAGTGAAAACAATCAAAGAACTTTAGAAAATTTATACCCTTCAATTTGAGTGGCTGTCTGAGGCAATGAGCACTGTCCACTAAATACCAAATCTTCAGGTAATTCCACATGTTGAATATTTACCAGAGAATAATCCTTTTGTTCAGTAATACCTGCCTCATCATTTTCTAATTTATAAAGTATATGGAGGACAAAATTTTTCTGCTTCTGGAATTGTGATGGAACAATATGCATGTCATCTCGCATGCATACAACAGTCAAGAGCACGATTTTTCTTACTGACCATACCGGATCACGCTGACAAAATTCATTGCTGAACTTGAAAAGACATGCTTGATAGCCTAAGCAATCATAGATAGTTGGACATGGAGCTGTTCTGTGACTTTCTGAAGACAAAATTATGGATTAGAATGCAAATGAAATTAAAGCAGTTAACTAGTAAAATATAAGTATAAAATATAACTAGTAAAATTTTATAATGTAATATAAACTAGTAATATTATATCCACTATACAATTGAAACTTGTTTCAATAACCCAACATACTTACTTTTTGTAAAGAAAACTGAAGTTTTTCCATTACAGGACAATATATGCTAAGCAATTTTTTTACCAAAAGATATTTGCATCAAATTTGCTTACTAACCATCACCAAGTTAAATATGTTGTTCTTATCTCTTCTAATAGTGACCTTGTTTTCAAATTATTGTCAATAAATATTTTAAAAATGAGCCATTCTATTCTCATTCTTTGTTTATTCAAACAACTAACTACGAGATGACGTTTAAAAAAAATTACCACAGTAAGATTAATATAATATTTTCCTGCTGAAACTATTAAGTTGGTGTATATATCTTTCTAGAGAAAACTGCTTGCCACACATTATCCTATTACAGGAATGATCTAAAAAATTTATAACACGAGGAGAAATTTGTATATTATATACTCAAGGCTCTTATTTTTCAAATAATAATTATAAAATCAAAAGTGTGTTATGGAAATGAAATCATCCTTAGTACAAAAAGTTTTATTTATTTATTTTTTCCTTAATATAAGTAAGCCATTGCTACGGTAATTTTAATCCTTGCTGGGACACTACAGTAAAATAAAATAATTATTCCAATGATGACTTCTACAAACCAAATATAATAAATACTTATCAACTTAATACTATGAAACACAATGCAATAATTAAGACTAGAATAAAAATAATTAATTCATCCTTGTTTATTACCATGGCACAAGAAAATATGCGTTTTAATACTTAAAAAAGAGGAATTTTTAAAAGATATATCATACTCCAGGGGAAGAAAACTGTTCATTCTGCAAAAGGAATTTATAACAGTATATCAATCATAATAAATACACTGAAGTGCCACTGAGGGATACTTAGTCAATAATGAGTTGGGCCTCCTCTGGCTGCCAAATGACGAAGCATAGATTCAATAAGTTTTTGGAAGCATTCTACGGGAATGGCTTGCCAAACATTGGATACAGCTGTCCATAATTTAGGAAAAGATGCTAGTGTTGTATGGTGAGGTTTCAAACCTTTCTCAAAACGTCCGAAAGATGCTCAGTAGAATTTTAGTCAGGGCTTTTAAGTAGTCAATTTATGACAGAGAAGTTAAAACGCTCATCCAAGCAGGCAGTAGCCATCTGGGACCTGTGAGAGGTGCAGTTATCTTGCTGGGAACTACACTTCCGTGTGAATGATAGGACATCATAAATGGATCATCCAGCAACTCTACGTACCGAATCATATTGAGGGAGTTTGGTATAAGTACCAAAGATCCCAAACACTGCCAAGAGAAAACATCCCATACCATGATTAAGCCACTATGGCCTTGTACAGTTCCATTCTGCCTTACAGGATTCATGACTTCATGAGTCTGACACCATATTCTCAGCCTCCCATTAGTATTAATTAGTCGGAATCGAGACTTATCACTCCTTGCTACTCATTTCAAGTCCACTAGCATCTATTCTCTTGCCCAGGCAAGAAGTGCAACTCGATGGCATGCATTCAGCAAAGGTACCCTCGTGGGTCTATGGCTTCCAAAGCCCATATGGTGAAGCGAGCGTTGCACAATCCTTTTACTGACTGTACGACTGTCACCCTGATTCAGCTGGGTGGTAATTAGAGCTTATTTTTGGCTTCGTTGATTACATACAATATAGCTGAGCTGTCTCACACTTGTTCTAGGTTAATTGTCCTTTGCAATTTGGCCAATGGCTAGTTCTTTCCCCCCCATTTGTGTATTCTCTTGACACTGTCGACCTTGAAAATCCTAGCCTGCTGAGGATTTTGGAAATTGAATGGCCCATGCGTTGAGTGCTTACTATCTGTCCGAGATTGAAGCTGCCCAAATCAGAAGTTTTACCCATACTGGCAACTGAAACAACTGATTAACAGCAACCATAGTACTAGTTGTATGTGCACTTACCACAACTTCCTCACATGAGCACAGATGCTGCCCAGCGCTATAAAATGTGCATAACCATGTCTATCCCTAATCTTTTATTTCAAAATAAACCAGAGGAGCTTTATATTACATTGGACTGAAAAAACATCAGTAACAGTTATTTATTAGAAGACCATAATGTAACTTCTTAATTACTCTATTTATTTGAAAACAAATTATATTTCTAAGGTGATAAGCGAAGAGTAGTCCACTAATAGGAGAAGAGAGCTATAGGTTTTTAAAGTTATATTAGATGTGGAAAGGGAGAATATTTTCTGCAGTGATTATATTAAATCTTAAAAATAACCTTCATATTTAATATAGTGAATCTTAACCTAACCTTAAAATGTATTATTTAAAACATGAACTTTTTATCATTCAAGAGCACTGATCCATACTCATTAATTTTCATCACATTACAAGTGAATGGGGACCCAGCTAAAAAATGCATAATATAGTTTGGTTCATTATTTGAAAATTACATCTCACAGTATTTCTATTTTAAACAATAAATTACATTAAAAGAAATTCAGATGCTAATGGTCATTCAAAAGAGTTTGTTTTCTGTGCTCACAGTCTACTAGTCTGCTCTTACTAACCCGCTCTTTTTTGTTCGTTTAGCCTTATTATTAAGCCTCATTTTCTTTGCACTTTATTCAACACCAAAATTACAACATAGCAGTATATGTCTAGAATTCCTGATGCAGCATTAAGCATTGACACACATTTTTATGCTTTTTTCCTCAGTTCATCATATTAAAATGGTTTTACAAAACTTTTTTTTTTCTTTATTATTAACATTTTGTGTGTTTACTTTATTTATTACATATTCTGTTCTTGGCACTTATGCCACATAAAATTCAATTCAACAGCAAAATCACAAAAGATTTAAAAACAACATACATTTAGAATTTCCTATAGGCAGTTTTACGTGCTGGAGACAAAAATGTTTTTTTCCTGTACAGTGTTGCCACTGTTCACTTTGAAGTAATTCAGTTTGTTAATAAAAAATTTGTGAAAGTATTACTAATTATGAAAAACACAATAAAACAAATTTGAAATTCAAAATTCATGCTTCCAGGTGGAGGACTACATTATTCAAAATTAGATTGCTCTAGGTTATCATTGTTTTTTTTTTTTCACAGTGCAAGAAACATATTCATGCAGATTCTTCATTATTTAATTTCTTTAAATATAACACAAGGTGATAATATGCAGGCCTTTGTCAAGTGGTTACTTCACTATCTTTGAACAGGATAACAATGGCAACAATTTGAAAAGTGATACAGCATTTAAAGTGTTTCAGCGCAAAATGCCAATTTGAGACTAATAGCCCATTTGTAACTAATGTCGCTTTTGAGTCAATTTAATAAGTTGGTTAATTCAGACAAAGATTGGGCTATGGCAATGCTTACTCCATCTACTGACTAAACTTTGCATTATTTTTATTTAAGATTGAGGACAAATTATAACATTTTTATTGTTAGGAATGAAATGAAATTACTGCATAAAAATAGCAAAATATAACAGCTTTACTAAATGTATAGGAGAATAAATCTAAATTATTCTAGTCAACATTCAGAAGATAATTTTATGGATGTATTATCGATAATAATTGTCATTTCATTTACACAGCATCTGTGTTTGTACAAATAATATGTACTAAAACTTCAAATTTCTTAAATATTTCATATTAAATAACCAGTATTAAAAATGTAACTATGGTAAAAGCTTTGATGGTCCTTCTTCCACTGGTTCAATAAAATAACAAAAAATAGATTTAAATCAACAAATATTTTATTTGTATTTTATTTTACTTGATTGAAAAAGCATGTTTTTAACACTCTAAATAAAAGAAAATCCCAAATAAAATAAATTACAATCATAAAGATGGAAAACTGACATTTATAAAATCTTGATAATAAAAACAATCTGAGATTTTGTTCAATTTATTTCCAATTTTAGGTTGAAGAATTTTTTAATGAAAGACAAAAGAAACACTTTTGTTAACATTTTTAAACTGGGCATAGTAAAAACTTGAAGAATATTATGAAGTTATATTCCACAGGATTAAATAAACAGTTTAAACAAAATTGTACCTGATAGTTCTGGCTGTAGCAATGATGCTTTATGTTTAAGAGTAATATCAGGTTCAGAAAGAGTAACACCCTGGTTAACAACCAATTCTTGATTTATCTATGAAGATAATAAATTTTAAAATTAAATGAACACATTCTTGAGCAAATAATTTGTTTATAGAATCCTCCCCCTCAAAACTTACCTCAATTATAAAATAACCCTTTGGGCACAATACTGCTGATTTAGATTGAGTTTCTTGCAAAATGTAAAAAAGTTCTAAAGAAGATGGTGATTCATTATGTAAAATATATTTGTAACTTTCTATATCTGGTATAACAAAAATTCTTCCATCTGGTAAAATTACTTTTTCTGCACCTAAATCCATTAGGCCCAATATTATCAAAAGAAAAACTAATATGAAATTCATGCTGTAAGAAAAGATGAATGAAATAAAATTTTACGGACAACTACATAAAAAATATGAAATATTCATTGCCATAAAACCTCAGGCTAAACTGGAGGATGAGATTCTGGAATAACAATTGGTGTCATTGCTACTCTTGACCTTTGCCTCAAGATTGATAAGAATGAAGAAGTGATAATGTTTCTGACACCCCATAACTGGAAAGAGGATCATTTCTTCTTTATTGTCAAAACTACAAATAATAATAATAAAAAAATTTCTTTGTTATTTATTCTACTACAAGAGTAAAAAAGGATTCAATATTAACATTATTTTAACTAATTTATCAATATTTTTTGGTCAAACTACAAGTAATAATATATTTTTTATTATCTTATATTTGAATCACTTATATCCTTTTAAGAGTTTTTAATGATAAATTAATTAAATTTCAGTTAATTAATTTTGTTTTTATTGTCAAAGCTACAAATTATAAATCTCTTTTTTGGTGTATTTGCTCCAAACTGCATGTACATCCCTTGAAGTTTTTGAATAAATTAAATTTATTAATTAATCTTAATTCATAACATATTTAAATTACTATTTATTTATTATTTTTTAATTAAGCAATCCTTTTAGTCAGTCAGGAAATAAAAACAACTTCAATGAAAAGTCTTTTAAAAAATGCTTTATTGTCAATATAAACACATAAAAATACAAATTCCAGAATACAATCTGTACAGTGAATATTTACACTTCAGAGATTAAAATTAAAAAATAACAACAATGAAAAATCTTTCATTCATATGACACAGTGGATGACAACAGCATTACCTTTATATGATCTAAATATGAAATCCTTAACAGTATACAAAAATATAACTTCCAGAAACTTGATGATGGTAATATATTTATATCTTTTACAATGAAAAAGAAATGAAAGATGATATAACAACACAAGCTTAGGAAACAGCTGCAATAAATAGTTCTTTATACATTTAGAACAAAATAATAGTAAAATGAAAGAATAACAGTTCGAATTCCATATTCTGTCCTCATTCATTATAAATAAATCCCTGAATTTATGAATCAGATGAAAGACCGTATAATTTAACAGTTCCAGCATCTCTTTCTCTCACATGTTTATCTTTATCATCACAGGCAAATGCTAAAAGATACCTTTTTGGATGCCATGCAACTGTAAATGTTGGAGATTCACATGGAACTTCAGCTATCTTTTCTCCTAGAACAATAAAAATGGTAATTAGAAAAATTTATATCTTCAGATTACAGTTCGATAGCTCAGAGATGATTTTACTAGTAAAAAATACAAATTATATCTACTGCCGCAAATTGCTAAAACTAAATAAAATTAACCCTTTGATGGTTATGAACGAGTTCAACTTGCAATCGAATCGTGCTTCATAATGCGCGCAGAGTTCCGCTTGGGAGCAAGATTTCGACCGAAATGGTTAAAAATGAGCACTACTCGCGAAGTGAAATTTTCCCCCAACGCGCGCTGACAAGCTGAGCTCATTCGCCATTATTATTCTGATTTGATTATGTTACAAAGGAATCCTACTCAGGAAATTTAGTTAGTATTACTGTCTATAGATGGCAATACGGGCTCCATTAATTTCTTTTTTTTTTACTTTGTTCTTTTTATGCGTATTTTGGAGCGTTTGTAAAGTAAAATGGCTCAAAAGCGAAAGTTAGATAATTATGATGGTGATTATGATTGTGATACAGAAAACTTATCAAGTTTTGAGTCTGATGAAGACTTTGTTCACAGTATATCAAGCTCAGAAGACAATTTAAGCGAGGAAGATTTTTCGAGTGTTCGACAGTGGTGTAAAATTGATTCAAGTTCTCACGCTCCTAGCCGATTTAGTTTTACTGATCAGTTTAGTTTATGATTTAGTTTTAAAGTATATTACACATAAAAAGATTTTTAAGTAATTACTGTATTTAAATGCTTCATAAAGTTTTACATTAGTTTTATTTATTTAGTCCTTTCAATTTAATATTCATCTTATATTTATAATTAACTATTTAATAATTATCATTTATTAATTATTTTTAAAGTACGTAAAAACTGTTATTTATGTACTACAAATACTTTTAGAAATTTTTAATACATGTGAGGCGAGCTATCTACAGCATCACCAGAGAAGGGTGATATTTTCGGAAGAACGGCGGGGAAAAACAACTGCCATTTTCGACTACTGTTTACTCGTAATACTGTGCGAATTAAGTAAATAAAAACTGATCATTTTCCTAACTGTCAAAGGGTTAAAAAATTTTGAAAGCTTATGAAAGTTTTCTGGTTCATTTTCCCAATTTTTTAACTACACTATCATACACAAAACATCAACTGAAAAAAATTCAGATGTGTAAGGTTTCCCTAAAAAATTTTTACACAGCCTTTATTTTTGCAATCATTAGTCTCATTTAAAACACTTTTGTAATTGGCATTTTTAAAATTAAAATATTTTGTAAAAATTATGAAATTTAGCTTTCTATACAGTCTTCTAGCACATATAATCAGTAAAAATTTTAATTCATTCTTAAAAATAACACATAAAAGGTTTTACTCTTAAATAAAAAATTGACTGAACTATTTTAATTTTAAAGTTTTGTGTTTCCTTAAAATTCAAGGGCTGCACACAAACTGAAGAGCAAAATATTTTAATGAAAATGACTTCTAATTTATAAAGAGGTTTTTGATGTTAATAGATCAAGTAATGAGCACTGCTATGCTGAATTTTTAAAACACTTTTAATCAATCAGTTCCCCCTCCCAGAGGAGAGAGGTACCAGAATATTACATCTTGGGTTATTTGAATACAGCAAAGCCTCCAAGGACTATCTGGAACCGATACTTAAAGGATTTATGAGATTAAATGAATGAAATTTAAGAGAAAATGGGAGAAAAAAATATCTTGATTTATACTAATTTATTTTTTAACTAACCCCCAAAAATACAGATATAAATTTCTTTTTGTCAAAAGATCCCAAACTTTGGAATTTTATATATTGATCAATTTTGCCATATGCGAGTCAAACTGCTTGTAATTTACTTTTTAAAATGAATATAAACCGTTATTACATATAACTGTATGAAGAGGAGACTATTTAGTTAGATTTTGTATTACATAAAATTGATTTTTTTAAATTAAAAAAAATGCTGTAATACAAATGTTTGTATCATTTAAAATACTTCTGGTAATGGAAATGCATATTTATGACAAAAAGGTCCCAAAAAAATGAAGGCAGTGCAAGACTTTATTGACCCACTGCATGTGTGTGTATTTATATATAGTGGTATGACAACATTAATTTGTTTCAGATCTTTGGACATATACTTAAAGAGCTTTTCCAATAACAAATAAATGGAAAATAAATAATCCAATCTTACAAAAAATCCTACTGTTATTATTATAACACTATTTAGTAATACAGTCAAAAGTCGTTAATCTGGACTCGTCGGGACTTTGGCGATTCCGGATTATCGATTTTTCCGGATTATAGATCATCAGTTTAAATCGCATAGGATGGCATGCAGAAATTCTAAAATTAAAAATATGAAACCGTAATTTATGAAATAAGGAACAATTATGATCTAAAGGGTATCAAAATTTACAAAAAAAAAAAGCTTAATATTTATTTGTTTACTTTATTAAACATTTCTTTCAATGTAAGTTGTTTCGTTTTATGTGATAATACTTTCTCTTTAATTCTATAAACAGACATAATTTTTTGTTCACTTACAAAGTTCCGCTCTTCAAGTCCCGTTAATCGCTGTGCCGAGAATACCGACTAACTTGTCAATCGAAATTTTTTCGTTTTCCCACTAACCTCTCTGTCACATTCTTCATGTCTTTATCCACTTTTTGCAGCAATTCCACTTTTTGTTTGATGGACATCGAAACATACTTTTCGTTTTGTACGATCCTTTGGGAGCTCCAGAATCAAAAATTCTATTTGACATAATCGAAAGTTCAAGTTTACTTTTTTAGTATTGCTTCTTACAGTCTGCAAAAAATAATAGCCGGATCCGATTCGAAAATTAAGGAACAACGCAATCATCAACATTAACTGAAATAGATAATTATATAATTTTAGCTTACACCATCCGTTTACATAAACACGCGTTAAAAACACTGCGCGCAAAACGCGCACGTCGTATTCCTAACGCATTTCTTTGCGCATGGCAACGCATTTGCGCAGTCAAGAGGTTTACGCGCATGCGTCCTATGCGCATGTGTCAACGCGGAGATGCGCAGAAAGTTTTTAGCTTTGAGGGTCCGGATTATAGATCATTCCGAATTATAGGTGTCCGAATTAACGACTTTTGACTGTAAAAAACAAATGTAGTGGGTGAAATAGATACAGTACATATTTTTTTTTGGCCATCCATATCAAAAGCAACTTTTTAATTATGCTTTAACTTTTCTGACTTTCTGTTTGGTTACTAATTTAGTTCCCTTCACACTAATTTTACCTTTTAAAAACTAGGTGGGGAAATTTATACACTGTATATCATTTCTAAGGAGAGGAGACTAAACTAACAATATAGTAGATTAAGATGTGCAAATGAAGAGATACACACACCAGTTATGATTATGGGTACCTAGTTCACATATGATCGTAGTTCTGAAAATGAGATTATCTCTATGTCACTTAATGTGGTTAAAAGATTATGTTTCTGCACTGATTGCTTCAGAGGATGAAACATATGATAAGATGAAGTCAAGAGTCATATGTGTAGAAGTGATTTATAACTAACATGGATATTCAGCAAGCCACCAAAATGTGGCTTCAGGCACTTGATGCTGGCTTCCTGTATGCTTTGATATACCAAATGAAGAGATGTTCGAAAAAGCACAACGACTGTTTTGAAAAGTAATGTTTAGCAATGCTTTAGTAATGTGCATTCATACAGCTGTGGAATACTTTTTTAGTTACATTCATACGTACTCATAGACTCGAACCTACAGCAATACTTGTCAGTAATCCATGCATGAATGATATTTGTACAACTTTAAAAACGTGCATGTAGAGCATATTTTTAACATTAACCATTAATTGTAATCAATTTAATTACATTTAATGTAAATCCATATATATAAAATTGAATAATTAAAAATATTTCTTATTAATTATATGCATATTTAATTAGAAATTTTCATTTTACTAGCAGAGGTAGAATATATGAACAGATGTAGGGATATTTTCAAGCAGGAATATCCTTACATCTGTCATCATAATTATTTGAAGCAAATATATCAACATTATCAAAGAGGAAATTCAAATCCATAAATCATATACTTTACACGAGGTTTTTTCTGGGGGCATTTTCTACACATAAAAAAAGGTCCAAAATACTTCAAGCATACATAAATCGATACATAAATACTCACATACAATCAACCACTTAATCCAAAAACTTCTAAGTTTTTAAATAAATAAAACGTCAAAATTTTATACATGCTTAAATCCCGAATTAGAGAATATTTTTTATAAAACAGTTTTTCATTAGTCTACATATTTATCTTTTCAATCAGACCTGTTCCAAGAATTTTCACCCGAAAATTTGGTCAAAATTCAGTCTGATTTTGTTTCTCTTTTTAATAGAGGAACTTCTTTCGGAAGCTGCAAGCACTATAATAGGCAATATCTTGTATTTAATGCACCCCTTAACATAACTTAATTTCGCAGTTTCTCTCCATGTATAATGTGCATATCTGCAGCTTTTTTCAAATATCTATTTGATACATATAAAACCTAATTTCCACCTGATAAATCATGAATAATGGATGGGAAAGTATTCATACAGAAATAAACAGATGAAAATGAAACTTCAGTCCTCAAGTTCATGTCAGCAACTTCAGCATGTTTTAGAAATGAATCACTTAGAGGAAATTTATTTATCACATAATGAACACGCAGTCACACAATTGAAAAATAATTTCACTTTACTTTCATCCAACACGGCATTTTTTACATATAATCTACACTACTAAATTTTTCTAACATACAACTAGCATTGTTTGAAGAAAACAATACGCAGTTTTTTATTCTAAATCTTTGCTTATAAAGTGTTCATTTATGCAATCAAAAATATCCTCTATATTATTTTCATACTTCCTAAAATAGAAATCAACAAGGTAATGACACTTCTGGTATAGCCATAGCTAAATATTTTTGCAATGGCAGAATCCAGAAGCTTTTTCAGATAGTC